GTTTCTGTCTGTATCTGTGTCTGTGTCTAGAGAATCCTATCTTGCCAATGTAGCCACCGTCCGTTGACACTGGAGGATGGGTTGCAGTGTAGGGCAGTGTAGGGCAGGGCAGGGCAAGGCAGTGTACAAACAGTGAAACGAAACAGCCGTGATATCGTATCGATGGGTGCAGTGAAGATCCGTCAGCGGCCTGCTAATATGGGTCAACGCGAGGCAGAGGCAGAATCAGAGGCAGAGGCAGAATCAGAGGCAGAGGCAGAATCAGAGGCAGAGGCAGAATCAGAGGCAGAGGCAGAATCAGAGGCAGAGGCAGAGGCAGAGGCAGAGGCAGAGGTAGAGGCAAAAGCAGAGGCAGTCACTTCACTGTATTCTGGATAGCTGGACTACTGCGCTGCATTGTGCTGAGCTGGACTGGACTGCGTCTGCGTATGTTCTGTGTCTTGGTCGTCGCAGGGTGCGGCAGAAATTCAAGTTTCGACGACAAAGACACCCACACACTGCCAACATGTCTACTTGAAGCTTCACCTACGCTCTGCAATCCAGCCGTATTCGCATTCGCTTCCAAACAACTCACCATCGTTGCATCGTGGGTACAGCGCATTCCGCATTCCTCTTCCGTATCTTTTTTGTCTGGTTATCGAAACGGTCCAAGTAGGCACGGCACGCCACGGCTGCTTGATTCAAGGCGGGCGAGCATGTCGCAACGCATCGACTCACCGGGATCGGGATCTGAAGACTTGTTCTTCCCGTCGCCCTCATCACAGCTTCACAGCCAGCGGCGAGACCCCGATGATGACGTGCCAGCACTAGTTGAAACGGCGAGCCGGACCAAGGCCTTGACGCCGGCCGTCGCGAACTTCATGGCGAGGAGTGGTGACAAATACGCGTTCCTCGGTCTCGTGCGTCGCCAGGTCGACTTGATCAAGTCGCGGTCGCAGGACTTCGGCGATGGTCAGGTCACCATCTTCGACAAGGCTCTGGTGCAAATGAGCCGAGATGGACGCGAGCTGGATCAACCTGCCGTGGTGCAGTTCTTCGCCGAACAGTTTCTGGGCATCCGCATGGATGGCAGGCCAGGGTCAGCCATCGAAGCAAGTCGAGCTCTCGAGCGAGCCGTACAGGTGGGACAGCGGTTGAAGTTGGGACAAAAACAAGGTGAATGATGAAACAAGACCCTCGAGCCCTGGGGCTAGCTCATTTGTGCGTGTGTACCGTATCTCTAACCCATATCTCAATGCCCAGCAGGACTCGGTACTAAAACTCAACCTGCAAACGAGGACAAGGACAAGGACAAGCCTGCAAGAGGGACAAGAGAGTCAGAGACGGGGCTGCAAAGAGAAGGAACCCACATCAATCCAGTCATTGCCCAAAACGAAGGAACTCACATCAAAGATGCCCAGCTAGCACGTCTCTGGGCCCTGTATGGCACCGCGAAACAAGATTTCCTGGACCACTCGCACAGTAACAGGCCGGAGAAACTGATGCAGGCGGCCAAATTCCTTCGCGACACAGCCGAAAACACCATTCAGTATCTCAAGGACAAATGCATCGATCCGGAAATGGAGACGGAGCTGCATGTGACGTACAATACGGCCAAGGCGACCGTGGTTTCGTTGACCGGCGGCAAGAAACGCAAGTTCGACCTCATCGACTTGAAAGATATCAAGAACGCGCCGCGCGGGCCGAGCTTGGGCACAGCCATGACCGTTGGCAACTTCAACCACAACACCTTTGAGAGGGGACAGCGAAGACAGCTTGGTTCCGGGTCGGGTGCTGGTACTGGTATGGGTATTGGTGGACCCGTGGAGACGTCGGCCTCGTACCTTGCTGGCAGCCTTAACATCGACATGTCTGATGCGTATGGGCCCACCGGTGCTGGTTCTGGTGATCATGATGATTACTTGACATACCCCTATGGTCACGGCAGCTCAGACTCTAACACTCATAACGGAGCCACTGGAGGGACGGGAGGAGTTGGGCAGGTTGGAGCACGAGATCGGGATCGTTATCGTCCAGGACATCAGCGATCAGTCAGTCCGCGGCGTCGTCGAGGTGGTGGTGGTTCGCCAGCGAGACGGAAAGGTACAAATGCGGACCGTGGTCGACCCCTTCACCCTCACCCTCCTCCACCGCCACCGCCACCGCCACCGCCTCCTCGTGGCCGCGGCCATAGTGGGATCCCATTCGGCTATTCCAGAGAGGTGGACTCATACCAGCCAAGCAAAGACAGCCAGAGGCACTACCTGGACTGGGATAGAAATGTTTAAAAGTGATGAGACGCTGGGTCATGGTCGGAGGACGTTGTCAACGTGTTGGATTACATCACTGCGAAGGCTGAGCTCAGGGTTGCATTGTTGCCAGTCACAGAAATGTACGTGAGACAGTCGAATAGGACATGGCTGGAATGGGAGGAAATATCGGGATGGAGTGTGCAGTGGTGGTTCTTTCTGCCTGGACAGGATGAAGATACCAATGTATCGAGTTGTAGATTAGGTAGTCAGTCGATGTGATGCGAGCAAGCGTACGGTTTGATTTGGCTCACGAGAGTCCGCCTGCGCCACTGCAAGATACCTCAAGTGCCAAGACAGCACTTGCACTGTTTAAGTGCAACAATGGTGCCGCCCTGAGAAGAGTAAAATGGTGGCGGGCGGCGGGTGTAAAGCAGCGTCGCCGATCTTCTGTATCCGTACTTTCCCAACGCGAGCCGAAAAGAATCACTACAACACGTCGGGTCCGCAAGCGACCACCCCTGGCCTGTTAGCGATGATCAAGTCGGATGCGGTGTTGTGTATTGTTACTGGCGGTTGTCCAACAGCTTCAAGGTTTCCTTCTCCGAGGCTTTAAAACAGGTACCTTGACATATGCTAGCATAGCTGACTGCTTCTGTGTTTTGTGGCTCCAGCCCACCAAGGTCAAGTACAGTTGGACACAATTTACTCACAGCATTGAAGACAAGAGACAGAACCTTAAGATATGGCATTGAAAGTTCGGCTTTCGCTGCTGGAGTGGATATTGCGAAGAAAGACAAAGCAAAGGACAGATAGGGAGCTGCCAGAGTAACGCTGGATGCACGGGAAAAAGGCAAAAGAACAGGAGAATGGTAGACCTGTCAGCGGAAGTCAGCGCAAGACAGACAGCACTCGTAACGTTAAACTTGCATATGCCATACAGCGAGTACGTGTAGCTTCCTGAGTGACTGCTGTTGTTGTTGGCCATTGCCGATGACAGAGCCCAGATCCGTGCTCGGGGTAGGAGCCGGAGCTGGCCCTGGAGCTGGTTACATTGGGCCTTCAAGGGCTTTGGCAGCTTGACAAATAAATTGTCCTCGTCAAGCCAGGTCGGATGGTATGTCAGATGGAGCCAACCACTCTCGAGGGTCGGGGGCGAGAATGGCAGGACTCAAGGGTGCGAGGAGATGTGTGTTTGTGAGAGGGGCTCACAACTAACAAGTACGGTTACTTTGCCCCCACTCAGCCTGCCCGCGGCAGCTGCTGTCTCAGGTGAGTATTATGTGTATATCCAATACTGAGACAGACCATGCACCATGAAGTCGCTGATGGAATTCCGGTCGCGAAGAATAAGCCTCGGGAGACATGTTCAGCCTCTGCAAGGTAGACAGCCTACAGGCGGCGAGGACAGCGCAGTGGTTGAATTTACCTCTGTACCGTACATCGTGGACGAAGATCATTTCTTCGACCGCAGATCAAGCCCCTCAATGAGCTCTCTGGGCGGCGGACAACTCCACGACGACGTTTCCAGAAGCAGAACAAAAGCAGAGATTTGGGTTTGGACGATGCAACCCAACACAAACACAGAAAAGACAAAGACAACTCCGCGTCCACTGTTGGCAGAGGACGGAAGCAGACAGAAACAAAAAATACAACCCCCCGTTTGATCATTATTGGAAAAGCCGAAGCCGATCTCAAGCTCCCAGAGATGCCACTGGCATGCCAGCTGCCAATGGAGCCTGCCAATGGAGCCTGCCAATGCTTGTGCCATCGGTCCTTGTCTCCTGCAGTGCAGCAATAAACGTGGTCGCGATGCTGACCGCCAAAGCATGATCGGACGGAAACTCTCTGTCGGACGGGCTTGACTTCTTTCTGTCCATCTGTCAACTGTCAGCTGTCACCCCCGGAAGTTTCTCCCGCGGGTGGACCAATGCGTCGCTCTACACAGACGAGTATAGCCTGACTGCGGCAGTGTACGGTACAGATTACAGCGTAACCTAAAGCATGGGCTAGCATGGACACACAGACGGTCATTATTCATGTTATTGATCAAGCTGATTGTGGAACTCGACATATGTATGTGGTGACTGATATCCGTGGGAAGCCGCAAGCCGCAGTCGCAGTCGCAGTCACCCTGGTCCCGACTGCAGTGGCATGCGCTTTGCCCAGCGGCGGCAGAAACATACTTGCAGCTAATCAGAGACTATTGCCCATATGCACGCAGCTGGGTCTAGGAGCCTAGAACAGCTGAGACTTTGCGCCACGCCAGTCACCTGCCTTGCGAATTTCTGGGAATGGTGGTGATGCTCGCTTGATTCTCCCTCAGCCCCTCGGGCCCTCAGCTCCTCACCTCTTCCGCTCTTCAGTTCCTCAAAGGTGCCAATCGCACCGCCACACACTGCGGGGAAGCAACCTCCCAATATTGATTGATCCATGGACCTACAACCCCGCCATTGACCGTCTCGTCGCAGCTCTTCTGGCGACCGTGCATGTCTGATTGATTATTGACCCATGTTTGGTATCTGTACTGCAGAACAGCAGGGGACCCATGACCGCTGTCTGTAAAGGAAAAAAACTCCTGAGGGGTATCTCTTTTTCAAACTCAAGCTCCGCTGCCGGCGAAAAACGGATAACCTCCTGTGTGTCTCCTGGTCATGTGTGTCCGGAAATTGTGGAAGCAAACACAAAGCGCTTATTAAACAAAAGTAGACAAGCCTAACAATATCGAATGCTCTAGGAGTCCTTTCAATCGGCCTGCAGGGGAGTATGTACTTCAAATTCAGCGGAGCGATCGAAGTCTGGCAAAGGCGGGTTCAGGCCATGGTCTTGGCTCGGGCTTGATAAAAAGTTGTCCGGCATGGTAGAAAGCTCAGCGAAGTCCAGTGGGGGGTAGTCGCCAAAGCCCTGACTGGACATTGTCAGATGTTGGTTGAAAAAGTCGTTCCCAATGTGACTGAGATGGGCTTGAATTTCCTCGGGAGCTTTGCAGCCTTCGCAACTGGCATGGGCAAGGAGGATGGCATTCATCTGCTGGATCTCGTCCTTCATCCGCATCACCTGGTCTTTGAGATAAGCGTTCTGAACGGCCTTTTCATGTGAGTCTCGCTGTAGCTTGTCCGTCTTCTCCTTCTTGTTGATGCGACACTTTGCGGCAGCCAGCCGGTTCTTCTCCAGTGACTGCCGTCTCTTCTGCTCTTCTGCAGAATCGCCCATGTCACTAATAGAGATCGAGGCTTTGCGAGAGGCTTTGCGTTTGCGCCCAGCTATGCTGCTGCTGTTGGTGGCTGGTGTCGTGGTCGAAGTAGATGTGGCCGGCTCTGGATCCTTCGACGCCACTTTGGTACGCTTGCGGCGCTCGGGTACCCTCGACTTGGAAGACGGTTTCCCGTCAGATGCAGAGTCAGTACTGGCAGTGGAATTCGATCTCGGAGGGGTCATCTGGCCATATTTTGAGACGGTCGAGGTGCCAGTAGGAAGTGTCAATGTGAGGTATTTGTCAATCTCATAGACATCCAAATTTAGCGGAGTGGCGTCCGTGGAGGGCTTGAAATCGTCTTCACGCCCGAACTCAGGCCAGTCATTCAAGCTAAGATCATTGGGTGGGCTGTAGACTTGATAATTGCTGAGAGGGGTCGGCTTCATTTGAGGCGGGTCAAACCCGAAGTCTTCATCGGGTACCGGGCCAAAACTGGAACTGGAGGAGAAGTTGTTGAAGTTTCGAATGGTGTAGCCATCGAGGTCACTGATGCTACCGACGACGGAGGTGTCTCCTGATAGGGTGGTCATTGTGGCGAAAGGTAGTAAGTTGAAATGTTTACGAAGCTCTGAAACGCCGAATGTGTTGCTGGGCGTGGCTTGGTGGCGGCAGGAGTGAGGGCCAACGGTGTCCGGGTCGAGATGAGGAAGACGGTTGTGAGCTGGTCTCAACGGAAGGTTGTATCGTTTGAGACAGGATAGTGAAGGAAGGAAGAAATCTCTAAGTGATCAGGATGGAGACGGGTCTGGTAATATGGGCAACGCGGCCAGGGTGGGCTGGGTTTCCAGTGTCGGGTTACAATTTGCGCCTGGATTGTCAGGTGGCAGAGAGGCACAGGAACCGGTGGAAGCGAGAGATCTGTATCCTCACTGGACAGCAGGACGGTGGATCGGACGAGGAAGGGATGAGGGGCGGATGGCTGATCCGATGGTGTTGGCTAGCATATGATACCTTCGGTTGGTATGAGGGGCGAGAGAGGGAGGGAATGTGAGAGGAGCGGTGGACAAACACGATGGGAGGTTGCGAGAGCAGCAGGAGGAGGAGGAGGTGTGGCGGTGGTGAAGGTTGGTGGTTTGGTGGCAGTTCCCACGAGGTAGAGAGGAGCCGACTAGTGGATGTCGAGGATCGGGATTGGGTTTGGAGTGTGTAGAGGTGAATAGAATCGGTCAATGGGCGGCAGCCGGAAAAGAATTCAGTAGTGGTGATCATTCAATCGCGTGTATGTTGTGGTATGGGATGGGATGGCAGCGGGATGCTTCACAGAGCTACTGTACGGAGTGCTCTGTAGTATGTGTATGCAAGGCGCTAGTGTTGTTTGCCTGCGCCCGTGCCTGTGGTAGCCTGCGCTCTGTGCTAGTGACTGGAGGTAGCCTGCGACACTGCGGGGCACAAATTCAAGTGCCGTGCCAGAAGGAGCTCCCGGCCGTCGAGACAGCTGCCAGGCCAGCTGGGTAAGCAGTCAGAGACAGAGACAGAGGACTCAGGACAGGGACAGGGACAGCAAACACTGAACAGGCCTCCAGGTACCTTTCAGCTAGCACTGATTGTGCTGTAGTGGCGTGTCACTGCTCTGAACCACTCTGGGCCGCAAATCGAGTCTTCCTGCCCGCATCGACGGCGCTTCAGAGTCAGAGTCAGCAGTGATCGGCCGCGCCCACCGTCGCCGATAGCCTCCCCAGGGCCCTAAGCCCATTGCCTCAAGCCCCCTGCCGCCCGCTCCACTGCCAACAATGGGCTTTTCCAAGATCGCCATGCCGCCAGCACATCTTTTCCTGTTTCCTCCATCTGCCATCCTGCCACAGTGTGGCTAGTGTTCTCTTCGTGCGCGCCACCATCGGCCGACACCTTCCAGCGAACCAGCGTCTTCAGCTGAGCGATGATGGCTGAAGATACTGTACGATCGTTCCCCTCCAGATCGGGTCCGTCTCCTTCGCAGGTGTATCCGTATTTCGTACACAGTCCTCGTCCTCCCTCCTCGTACTCTTCGTCGACGTCATCGGCTCCAATGGACCATCTACCTTAGGTAGGCTTCTCCATATTCAACCACAGATGATGCACCCTAGCTCCAGCGTTGTTTGCTGTTTGTGCTACTGTGGTTCGGGCTAAGGCCTTGGGCCCCCTCCCTGTGTCCCCGAGGTTCTTTGGAAGCAGCAAGGTTTAAAATGGCTTCGGATCGAATGCCAGGGATCATAGAATCCAGTTCGAACCAACCGGTAGGCTTCTAGAAGGCCCAGCAGAAATTGAAATTGAAACGTGGAAGAGAGCAGTGGCGGGAGTGTGTGGTGCATGGCAATGCTTTGCCATACCGGCTGATGGGCTCAGTTGAGGCTGCGATGTCATGACGATGTCATTGTGCAGACTTAGCCACTCCCACCCAAATCGACATAATGCCGCATCTCCACGAAACTATCCGGCTACCATCGCTCCGACGTGAGAGAAACCAGACGCGTCGAGGCCCTGGTAGTAGTACCTGAGTACACGCTAAGCGTGACGGATGGCTGCCGTCCAAAATGACAACTTTTTCATTGTATTAGCCATTCAAGCTGTACTCCGTACAAAGGACCCTTTTCTCGGTGATCGCGATCGACATTCGACCCACGCGTGGCACAGCAGCAGGAACCCATACCATCATTCCCAGCTATCCAATCGACCCCATAAAGCAAATAAGTTCTCACAGCAACGCGATGATCAATCCAATGAACCCGGCACCCGTAGCGCCTAGTGCCAAAAGCCGCGCATCTGTTTTTCCAGCGCCACTGTTGCTATTAGATGAAGGTGTGGCGCTCCCACTGCTCGTCGAAGAGCCGCTTGTCGATGTTGCCGTAGATGATCCAGTTGCTGAGGCCGCAGATGCGCTCGCGCTCGCACTCGACGATGCTCCTGAACCGGACGCGCCCGAACCCGTCGTGATGGTCACTGGTATGTAGGCAATATCGCTCGATGCGAGGGTGGTGGTGATTGCCGTCGTCGTGATCTGAGTGTTGGCCGCGGCAGCGGTCTCACTGGCTGGCACAAGGGAGGTTCCATCCGCATCCGAATCAATCAAGTCGGCTGGCCCAACGAACGTCTCTTTACACGTGGCTGCGGTTGTCCCTGTTATCACACAGTCCAGCTCGACCGTCAAGGATTCGAAAGACTCCTGCGCGCGGAATGTCGACGGGCCAACCGTCACGGTTATACTGTCGGCGAAGCCGCAGCTATTTTGATCTTCGCCACTCGGACACGACACGGCAAGGGTGGTTTTGGATGCATCCTGTCCAACGCCTGATTAGCCCTGTGCCTGTCTCTCTTCCTCTCTCTCCGCGGCCAAGGATATGGACTGAAGACATACTGAGTGAATAATGGATCCCACAAGTGCCTGCTCATCGGAGTCTGGAAAGAACACGCTGACCACGGAGGACTGCGCGGCAACAATGCCAGCGAGCGCCAGAGCGAGCATGGATTTCTTCATCATGGCCATTGTTATCAACCTAAGGTAGGCAGACGGCGTGCTATAGGAATCAGGCAATGCAAAGCAATTCAGAATGGAAGTAAGGAATGTTTCGAAGTTGAATGCAAGAGTATGAGAAATGCACGACAACGAAATGAGGAGGAGAAAGGTAGACGTACCCTATCCCTGTTGGATTTCTACCTCCTGGGAGATTATCCCTTAGCTACAACATACGCCGTCGGCTAGGTGGTAGGGCGCCTGGACACTGCTGTTTCAATTCGTGGCCGGCCGGCGCGAATACGCCCCCTCTACGGAGTGTCCGTACCCCTTTTTCTTTCACCTTTCAATGTTGTTTCGCCCAAAATAGGACAGCCTTGGCCCTAGTGTAAGGGGGCGCCGGGGCGGGCTTGCAGCGCCAGCGCCAACGCCAGTGTCCAGTAGGCCAGTGGCAGTCCAGGCAACGGCCAAGCTTCTGCGATTCCCCCGTCTCTGGCGTTGTCACTCAAGTTGTAGCATAGCAAACGTTTGAGACGTCTGGCATAATAATATCTGATTTGTTCATCGATATTGATCGGGTGTGGAGGATAAAGTCGATCGACCATGAGGGGAAAGACTGGTTTGACTTTGCGTGGCTCGAGCTACTGATCAATCAGCTTTCAGTCAAGTGGCCCCAGTCAGACAGACATCTAAGACGCGTTTTGGACCATGCGCCACGCGCCTACTTCTGTCAGACGTGCTAGAATTACAGAGGACAGTTCTCCAATAGGTACCTAGGTACCTACCCAAGGTACGGAGTATCCTAAGCAGCTAGGTACTCCGCACTCCGTATAGGAACTCCGCCTGCCGGGTGGCTTAGGTACGGAATAGAACAAGAAAGGAGAGCACCGAGGCTGAATAGTATATCCGTACTCCGTCGAGGCTCGAATTGACTTGATGTTTGGTGGCCATTTCGGTAACTGAAATACACGTATAGAATAAGGTAGTTAGGTAGTTGGTTGTGTTTGCCACGGTTGCTGGAGAGATGCTGTCGAAGACAGTCTGGACTTGGGGCCCGTGTGTCCTGCCACCTGCCAACAAACCTCCCGTTTCTCAGAGGAGAATCTTCAATCCTTGCTTCTAGTTGACCACGTGATCTGATGACATAACAGTCCGGATTCCATGGTACGGACCTCCGTAGTGTGGTGCTGTAGGAACCCTCCCGAAGTTTTGCTCTCCCATGGTGTGGAATCTGGATAGTACCCCATACCCAGCAGACGTATACTCCGTACTCCGTACTACTACCACGCACTTCTCAGTCCTGACTTCTTTTCGGACCACTGTTCGATAGTCATATGCTGCTTCTCAACTCCTGTCACCGAGTACTCCGTAGTATCTCAGCTCTGGTCTTGCAGAGACGCACGTCTTCTGCGATCTGCAATATATTGGAGTAACGAGTCCCTTTCCTGGCCCCCCGTTCAATAGTCCGGTGCACGGCCATCATGCATGTCATAGTAGTGCGCACTGCATACCACCACACACCACACATATCAGCCTAGTACCTCCTGGTATTAAACACCCCACTAGATCAGAGCAGCGACTCTTGGCTTGACCTCAGCTTGACATAGTACTCTTTGTTTCAGCTTCCAAAGTCGTGACCTTGGTCAGTGTCTCCCCCCTACTCGTGGGGGGGAGGACTTGGTTGCAACTCGCACATTTCTTCAACACCGTCTCTGCCCAATCCGAGACCTCAGCACAACTCCACCTGCGACGTCGATCCTGTTCAATCATGCCCAGTATGCCTTGGACGACTAGACTTCCTGTCCCGTCTTCATATCTCTCACTTCCAATCTTCAGCGCAAGCCCTGCCGGCACCTTGCCCTTCTGTATGTCTCGTAGAATGTGGAGTCGTTCCGAATTGGTCGGGCAGCACCACAGCATTTCCACCAGGATGACCCCAAGTGCGAAAACATCAAGCTTCTCATCGACCACGTCAGCCCACCCACTGGCAGGAGGTCTGTAGTATTCCGTGCCAACCGGCTTGCCATGCTTCCTGCCGCCGCTATCGCCTTCAAGTCCGTCGTCTCTGGCCACGTCTGCGACAAGTCCAAAATCCCCAATGCGCGGGTTGACAAAGTACGGACAGGGATTCGGACAAGCAACGCATGATCCCACATCATGGTATCCGTCAGGCACCAAGCCGGCCGTAGGAACGTCCAGGCCGGATAGAAAGATGTTGCTGGGCTTGATATCCCGGTGCACCAGTCCTTTGGCATGTATATACTGTAAGCCACATAGAATTCCCATCAAGATGCGAAGTGCAGGTACCAGATGAAAGCAGTGTCTTGGACGGAAACTACCAGGAGCGCCTCGTGAGTTGGATGATGGCGGTGCCAGATATTGTGCCAATGTCATGGGGTATACAGACATCTGGACATGCAGCACATAGACTGAGTCGTCGACATTCGCCTCCTGGATGCTTGGCCGAGAGACACCATCCGTGAAGATATCTGAAGTTCGGGCGGAGGGGCTGTCGAGTTCGCTATCCTTCAGGGACCATGTTGGTCCAAGGACATCATCGGCCCCTGGAACATGGGCCTGCGACGTGCTGTCGGTGCCGAAAACAATCCCGTCGTCATGTTCAGACATTAGTCGTCTCGGTCGCGGTTTCGTTGGGGCTGATGGGTCCGCGATGAGTCTTCTACCCTGAACGGTGAGACTGGGAGTCCCGGACCTGTAGGGACCTTCAGGCATCCTTCTTGGTTCCTCAATCCAGGTAGCATGATACCGAACGACATTGTTATGTTCGAGCTGTGCCAGCGCCTGAACTTCCCGCAATAGGTTTTCCAACTCTTTGTGACCAGATTCTCTATATCGCTGTGAGTGTCGAGGGCTCAAGGGTATCTTTTTGACTGCATACTCTTTCTTATCAAAGATGTTATATGTGTGGTATACCCGGCCGAATCCTCCTTTCCCCAGTAACCTGATTTGTTGGAAGCTTGAATCATAATGGCTCTGACGCGGCGGCGGAAGAGGGAAGGCCAAGTCTGAATATGGAGAAGAGAACTGATCCGGACTCTGAAATAAAGAGATATTTGCCATCTGCTGTTGAAGAGACTCATTAAAGATGCCCTGCTGTTGATAGGTAGAACGAGGAACTGCTAGGAGTTCGTCAGGTGAAGGTAGTTGATGCTTCGTTCGGGTGGCAAGTGTATCAGTGGTCTGCATACCGCTTAACGCAAGACCTTCCAAGCCGGCTAGATATGCTGCTCGTGTCTGCTGACTACCCTGATTATCGCTCGCAATTGAAGCCGGTAACAATCCACCAAGGGCTAACGACTGGCTGACGTGTTCATATACCTTCCTTGCTAAAGGCTGGATTTCTGCCGATGATCTGGTAAAGTTGGCCCCCGGTCTTGCACTGTTCATCATCTCACAAGCCTTGGTCTTCGCAAAATCCTCCAGGAGAGCGCTGAGCAGGTTTGTGCGGTGATGGTCGACGTTGGCAAAGGCCGAAGTCGCCGGATTTTGCCTGTCTCCCACGGCCACACTTCCATGGCTTGGAAGAGACTCCGTGTTTGCTGTCTCTCCTCCTTCTTCCACAACATCTTCTAGCTGTTGATGGGAATTGCTGTCCTCCTCTAGCGTACTGTCTGCTGAGCTTGAGCCCGAACTCGCATCAGTGGGCCGGCGGAAGAAAGTGGACGACATTGATTGAGACCAGTCAGATACCTTTTGTATCACTGCACGTTGTAGCGTGTAAGTTCATTGCAAAAGAAAGATGCACCCAGCACAACGCCGAGGAGGTAAGGTCAGAGTGCCGACATGCGGGTTTCAGTGCACTGCACCAGCTTAGTTGCAGCTCAACTGAGAGTCACAGGCGAAATGTTCCGAAATCCTGCCCTGTAAATCCCTGATTCAGGATCGCTGTATCTCTTTTGCCAAATGCTGAATTTGGGCGAACACTTGCCGGCGCCTATTCACGCAGGCTGCAAAATTCGTAGTCTTTGGCTTGAGCCAGTCAACGCATCGGAAGGGCGTCGTTCGACGAGAACCCAGGCTCCTACTTGCTTGCCTGACACTGCAAAAGGCAGGTGGTGACACAACGAGGCAACATTGAAAAAGGCGCAATCACGGGGTTGCTGTCCAGTGTCGGTTACTAAAGGTGTAGGGCCAGGAGCCTGCTTTGGGGCTACGGTGGTGATGAGCGCAGCTATCTACCCGCGGTGGGCCTAGTCACGTGATCGTATCATCTGACCAGACGCCGAGCGCTACCGTAAAAGCGGCGAGGGGCGCGATGCTGCTTCAAAAGACCGCATCCGATGTCATCGACCACCACAAATGACACAAATGACAAGCAACTCAGATAAGCCTGAGTCCAAGACGCTCGCTCTCAGCCTCGTACGCACTGATTCACCGCCAATGTGGTACTAGTATATGGATGTAAACAAGACCTTAATGACCTCGAGGAGTCTTCCTTGACTCACTGGAAGTAAGACCGTCTTATAGAACACTACAGCTGCTTACTTTCGTCCTCTAAACGCTGGTTTCCGAAAGTACGCCCACAGAGCCCAGTCGTCATGTTTAGTCGTTGACGTTCAAGTCTTCGAAATCATCCAACAATTCGTCCAGGTTGATTTGTGGCACTTCATCTTCGCTGCTTTCTCCCGTGGCCATGCTCATCTCGTCAGCATCCTTCTTCCTCTGCTGCTGAGCCTTGTACAATGCCAGCGTCTGCCTGAGTTCCGCATCCTCTTCCACATCCCGCAAGAAGGTCTCATAATCTGCATCCATCCTGTCCTGGTCTGCCTTCTTCGGAAGCAGGTCACCCTCATCCTTGGCTAGGCGTCGAAGCTTCCAGCTCCTGGACTTCGACTTCTTCTTCCGCGCATAAAATTTCTTCACCAGGATCACATCCGGGATGGTTGACGAGAAGGTGTTGCTCTGCTCCAATTCCTCGAATTGGGCGTTGTTGAAGTTGGTGCCCGTCAGATGGTATCCAAGCACAGAATCTCCAGCGTGCAAGATGCCTCCCAGATGCGTCCTGACATAGTACGTCTTGTCGTTGACACCCAGATCTGAAGCTCGTGCCACAGTGGCCTCGGCCCCGAAAAACCGACCGTTCTGAGTGCCTAGAGATTCAATGTCGAGCACAACAAATTCCACAAGCTCTCGCACATCCGCCAAACTCTTGAAGGGAATTCTCCAGTATATGTTCGCAGAAAGGTCTGCAGTCTGTAGGGTGGTAGGGTCGAGGAGGTTAATGGCTGTACCTACTCGGTAGCATATTGCTAGTGGACTAATATTTCCGACGGATTTGGCCAGTTTGATGGGAAGAGCAACCAAGTCGTCTTTGCAAATTGGAAGAAGTTCGCACGAAAAGGTGAACTTGTAGGATTTGGTCGACGTATGCACATCGGTGGAGATCAACTCCTGAGCCTTCTTCACTTTGACTGGAGCGACCGAGGTGAGGAAGTCGACAAACTTTTCGGCCTGGTTACGCTGGGCGAAATAAAAATCCAATCCATCCTTAACTTCTTTGATGTTGATAGTGTCTTTGTGGGCTTGATGTTTGAGGACGAGTTGCTCAAGGTACAAAAAGGTCCGCTTATGAGGCACTTTCTGTCGGACTTGCACCGAGGCTCGCCATGTGTTTGGTGTATATGATTTTTGGCACTCGGGACACTGTTGATAAGCGACGACATACTCCACCTCGAAAGTCTGCTGCAGGATCGTTCCCTCATAGGCTTCCTGCTGGACCGTGATCTTGACTTTGACCCGTCGCGAGTGAGGCTCCGTCCAAATGAAGCTGGCATCGATGATCCGGACTTTGTTGAGACCTCGGAGTTTTCGAAGGCAGAGAGCTAACAGTTCTCGACTTTCCGGTGCCGCTGTCACCCATTGCGAGGGTGGACTCAGCCATCGTTCGCAATCCCGGCACGTATGCAATACTCCCTCTCGCTGTATTCCCTCGGATACATCGATGGTAAGTTTGATGCAGTCATAGCACAAAGCACCTGCCGAGGCCGTGCCATCTATGGGCGCACCGCAGTTGCAGCAAAGGATTGTCGCCGCCTGTGGTCTATGGAGGGAAGGAAGAGAAACTGGGGCATCAAGATCCATCGACATGGTGAGAGGGTTGGGCTGCAGCCCGTCCACAAGGTAATTGGAGAGACCTAGATCAAGCGCAGGACGGCAGTCAGAAAGAGAAACAGGGAGATCTGAAGCGGATGAAAGAACAGAGGTTGTGAGCACTTGTAACTCTTTCTTTTAATAATGGAGAATTCGCCGCCTTACAAAAGTCGTTCGGGTTGTCGTCAAGTTTTGCCCCCCCAGTCGCGCCAAGGAAAACGGCGGACCACTACTACAGAGTAGCACTGGCAAATCCAGGTCTGGATCACGTGATATCACGGGACCGACAATTTCCATACCTCGGGGGCTGCGGACTATCGCCCGAGGTTTGTCCTCTCCGCAAAACGAACAAATTGAGCCGACCCTGCCCCCAGATGACACTCAGCGGCACCTGGGTAGAGAGAGAGTGGCCGCTAACGGACCGACCTTCGTTCATGCCCTTTTGTCTGTATTTCTAGTCGTCATGAAGGCTTGCTGCGCAAGATACGCGGCCGCTCTCGTGGTTCCTAACACTGCAGCCCGAACTGCAAGTTTGGCAGCACGATCAAGAACTCAATTTGGTTCATACAGTCTCGGCCGAAGAACAGTAGGTTCCAATGCCGACGAATGACCCAGTCCGTGCTCATACGATGCAGATGTCTTCTACGCCGGTCAGATATGGCGATCTGCCAAAAGAACTACCTACAGACGACCCAGACGATGTTCTCTTCAACTCTCAGTATGGGGTCCGGACCATTGAACTCAACCGACCGAAAAAGCTCAATTCTCTCAACGGGTCCATGGCAAGAAAGATCCTCCCCCGACTGAGGGAATGGGAAAAGTCACATCTCGCAAATATCGTCATAATCAGTGGAGCGGGCCCCAAGGCATTTTGCGCAGGTGGTGATGTTGCTGAACTTGCGACACAAAACAAGGAGGGTCCAGAGGGACAAAAGAAGTCGGCAGACTACTTTGCACTTGAATACAAGCTGGACCAACTGATCGCAACCTACAGCAAGCCATATATTGCCATCATGGATGGCATCACCATGGGTGGAGGTGTTGGATTGTCAGTCCATGCTCCTTTCCGGATCGCCACTGAGAAGACCCTGTTTGCCATGCCCGAAACCACGATTGGCTTCTTTCCCGACGTCGGAGGGAGTTTCTTTCTGCCTCGCTTGGACGGCGAGATTGGAACGTACCTGGCATTGACCTCCGAACGGCTACATGGTGTGCAAGCGTTCTACGCCGGCGTTGCCACGCACTACCTTGACAGCTCCGTGCTTGCGCAATTGACCGCACGATTGTCCGAATTGGTTTTCAAAGACCACGCAAGTCTAATGCAACGACTCCAACTCATTGACTCCACCATAGCCGAGTTCGCCAGCGCTCTGCCGTCGCCAGACTCGTCTGATGCTGCAAAATATGGCAACCTGACTGGTTCTCTACGGGAAGCAGTCGACCGAACCTTTAAGTACGACACAGTAGAGGAAATCCTGGCTGCCTTGCAAAAAGAGTCCGAATCGGCGGACGAGAAGCTCGCCGAATGGGCGAAAGCGACCCAAAAGACCATTACGTTGAGATCTCCGACCAGTCTTCGGGTCACCTTGCGACAATTGAGAGAAGGTAGACACTGGAACATCAGCGAGACTTTTGTTCTGGAACATAAAATCGCGAGCAAATTCATGGCCCATCCGGATTTTGTCGAGGGCGTTACAGCTCGACTGATCAACAAGCCCCCGACCAAGCCTCAGTGGAAACCCGCGACTCTGGCAGAGGTGTCTCCGGCCGATGTGGACGCATTTTTCACGATGCCTAGCAAAGAGGATGCGCTGACTCTGGTGACGCCGTATGAGGGCGCGCTTCCTCAGAATTACACAGATTATCCTCACGCAATCTTCGCGCTGCCGCGGGAGTCAGATATTCAAAATGTAGTCAGGAGCTATGGCAGGCAAGGGTCGAAGAGAGTGACTGAGGAGGTGCTGAACAGGTGGAACCACAAAGCTGGCGTGAAGGAGAAGGTCCAAGAGGTTCTTGCCCGGAAGACCGTATCGGCGGACGGTAAGGCGATATCATGGAAGAGCAAAGACGCCAATCTATAGATGGCGGTGTTGTATGTAGCACCATAGATGGCTGGCCCTAGTAATAGATAAAGTTACCATCGGTGGTATCTATCAATCCCAAAACTCGACATAGTTCGCTCCCATTGTATTGATTTGTCCCTGGGTGTTGTGTTGTAATCGAGTGCTAAGGATGCTTCTCCAACCCGGCCCCGAAAATTTCTCCACATCATCCCATGTCTCATTCATACACCGTACATACTTTTCCTTCCACTCAAGAAAGTTGCAGGTTGGGCTTGACACTATCTGACTCTTCGGGCGATTCTGAGAGCCTAATTTACATACAATGTCGGCGCCCACAAGGAACGAATACCTCGATCACGGACCATCGGACGAATCAGACCACGATGTAGGCTACGACTCGGAGGCCGCAGAGGTATCCAAGACGAGGAGGACAAGCAAGAGGCGTAAGATAGAGCGTGAAACTACAAACGAGAACGAGGAAGCAGACCAAGTAGAGCCCTCAAGGATTGCAGAGGCCCCTTCTCTGGTCACACAACAGCGCCAGCACGACTCGGACCACGACCAGGACGCCGGACCCAAAGCCCAGGACACGTCCTCTGAAGCAGTTGGAGCGCAGACAGCGAAGAAAAAGAACAAAGACGGGACCAAACACAAAGAAACTGTGCCTGGCGTAATATACCTCTCGTCGCTGCCTCCGTACCTCAAACCCTCAGCGCTGCGCAACCTACTGGAACAACGTGGGTTCAGCCCGATCAAGCGGTTGTTTCTGTCTCCGGCCAGCAAGCACAAATCCGGGTCGAAGAAGAATTCACGCCGGCTGTACACGGAGGGATGGATTGAATTTACCTCCAAGAAGATGGCGCGGCGGTGTGCGGAGACACTGAACACGCAGGTGGTGGGCGGAAAGAAAGGAGGATTCTACCACGACGACATCTGGAATATGAAGTACCTGAAGGGGATGCGGTGGGAGGAACTGATGGCCGGCATCAGGGAAGAGAAGAGAGAGGAGGAGGGCCGAAGAGACGAGGAGAGGCGGATCATCGCGCGCGAGACCAAGAGGTTCGTTGAAGGCGTAGAGGAAGGGCGAAGGAGGGAAGGGATGAAGAGAAAGAGAGAGCTCAAGGGCGTCGGTCAGGATACGGCTACAGATCCGAAGAGGACGTGGAGACAGGCTGAGGTCAAGGGTAAGAACACGCTTCAGGAGAAGGAGGGAATGAGTGAGGACGTCAAGGAAGTCTTGGGCAAGATCTTCTAAATCTACCGGGTCAGAAACACACCAGACTCGGAAACGGCCTCCATGCTCATTACGTTCGTCAGGAGCCCGTCAATTTAGATCTGCCACCGGAATGGATGCGCCTCAGTATTGAAGACAAACTCGTCGAGGCTGACAATACTCGGGTCCTCGAACAACAGCCAGAAATACTTCAATGTCTCGGCCATCCAGAAGCTCTCCATTTTGTCGACCTTCCAAGAATTGACCTTGGTGACGTCTTCGATAGACGAGAAGCCTAGGTCTGTCCGGGTGCGTTTTGTGATGGCCTCGAACATGGTCCACGCAGCTTCGCGCAGCTCTTCGTCGCCCGTGATGCGGTAAAGGACGAAGATGGATTCGATGGCTTCCGGGCGCAGCCCGTAGCCACGACTGGCGATTGCTGAAATGCCCTTGGGCAGACGGAGGCGGTCTGCTTTCTGTCGCAGACGCTCCTCTTCGGGCAAGTCTCTGTCGTCGGGGGACTCGTCGTTGGTATTGCGCCGAAGCACATCTTTGGCCCAGATTTTCTCGTCCCAAGTACACTGCCAATCGTCGTCGGGACACGGGACGACGGTCAATGTTTCAGGCATGATGCCTGTCGTGGTTTGATTGTATGCCCAGATACAGCCGCGGACCAGTTTCTGTGCGACGTCCAAGTCGGCTGACGGACCGAAGAGTCGGGCGCCCAAGGCGAACATGCCACCGGCAAAACAAGCAAGGTGCTGCATCTGAGGTTCGAACTGGACCTGTCCTGGTGTGAAGGCTTTCAGTGTACCGGCCATGAGGATGTCTTCGTTCTGTGGAGTCATTGGCTTGAATAAAATCGACTTTTTGACCGGGCCCATGGCATTTTGATAGAGCTTCTTGTATTGCTCCGTGGCTCCTCTCAGCAGCTGGTGCTGTTTGGGGAGATATTCGTAGACCGAGTCGGCAGAGCCGCCGATAGAAAAGGTGACGCCGTCGCCGAAATAGCAATCTCGTGCGTTGACGCTGTGCGGGAACAGGCCCGGCATCTTTGTCTGATCTTGCTGGTCCTCCAAACAGCTGGTGATACGCTGGACAGCATCGTAGAACTTGGGGTCGCCCGTGAGCTGCGTGAGCCGGGTGAATTCCAGGCTGAGAGAGCCCAGTTCGGCAATCAGAGCCTGACCCGGTGCAGCCTCGACTCCGATCTTGGACCAGTGCAGCACCGGCATGTGGTTGGGCGTGTCGAAGGCGACGTAGAGCATGTCGCCGACCTCCTTGGCCTTGTGGAGCAAGACGGGATATTTGCCATCACTGGCGTCGTACGCGCCCAGGAGCCCGCCGAGGTAGCGGATGGTGGTCTCGAAGACGTTGATGGGCAGCTGGGCCGGAATGTCGAAGTCGATGCCCGCCACGGCCTCGACAGCCTCTTCAAACTCCTCTTTCAGGCCCATGAGCCACAGCGTGTCCAGGGCATCCACCAGAGTCGCGGCCCATCCGCCGAAAGTGGTCCTATAGCCTCCCGTGACAGGGGCCAGTTCGTCCATCCGCCAGGCTTTCGAGCGATACCCGTTCCACGAGTGCACCATGGCTTCTCTGATGCTGTGGAGTCGAGCCAGCCGGGTTTCGCGGGCCGTGGCGCTTTCGGGCTCGAACTCATGCTGGATTCGTGGGATGGTTGTAGCGGCTGTAGGCAGCGGGACGAAACTGCTGATGGGATGGAGAAGGAGCTGTTTCTGTGGAGGCCTCTGCTGCTGAGCGCCACTCGTCGCTCCTATCGAGGGTGCGAATGCCCCATCCTTGGCTCCGTGAGGCTGTGGCGCTTCTTCGTGGCCGGCATTACGTCCGTCGATGACCGAAGCCTCATGCTGTGTCTGGTTCGACTGGTCGGTCACAGGAAGATGCCACGTGAGGAAGAGGAGGATGCATGCCACCACCGCGACGAAAACAGCCAGTCTTTTCTTCCGGACTACCATAATAGCATCATACTGAGTTGTCGGTCATGCTGACGGCAAACGGCTCATTCTTGGGCCCGCTATCAAGCTCCTGATTGTCACTGGAGTCGGTGGTTCGCTCGGAGATCAGCCTTGTCTGCCGTGGAATGCCTCGTCCGTCCTGATCGGGAAAAGGGGCTCAGGCTTGGCCGATTCAGGGGTTACAGGACGGATATGTCCATCCGTGGTACAAGCCAATACCCAAAATCCCATCTCTTATTAGCACGGGAGATTCGTCTTCGCCGACCATCTCCTCATTTAGTGCCGTCGGAAATGGATGTCTCGGTTCTTACGAGTACATTACCTGTTGTTGAGCCCATTTAGGGAGGCATGGGGCGGCCATTCGTCGAGATCTTGACCATCTCAATCTCTTGCATGCGCTAACGCAGGTACAGCCACAATCCCCCGGCACTGTACGGTAACCTTGGGCACTGAAATGGCTTTGTTTGCAGGGGTTTGATGCTCGCTTCAAGGCCCCTACGCCTCCTAAGCCTCGTCAACGGCGTCCCTTTTTTTCTCTCAACCCATCCGCTCCACAACCTGAATGGCCTTGCAGCGTTCTCATGGGCCAGAAGCAGGGAACATGGCCAGGCTCTGGATAGTATGTGTAGGGATTGTGATGCGAAGACCATGCAGGCCCTGGTCGAGATGTGTTTGAATACGTTCGTCCTTTCCTTGAGCGACCACTGCTCTGATTGCCGTCTCTCAAATTCTTAACTGTTCAAGTCACTCTCTTGTCGATTGTCCATGTTCCTTCGTAACGCATAGGCAGTTGTTTGTTCCAGTTTTTTCTTCATTCGCTTCACTGCTCGAATTTATCCCCTCCTTCTGCGGTGTCGTTCTCGTTCTCGATTCCTTTCTATTCATTTCACCATGAAAATCAGCCAGCTTCTGGCGCAGGCGCTGGTAGCCGCCGCCTTCGCCGTGTCTGGGGTCGAAGCATTCTTTAAGGGCTTCAACATTGGAGCCAACCTTGCCTCTGGAGCCTGTCGAAGCGAGTCGGACTGGGAATTTGCCTTCAACAAAATCGCCAGTTTCCCGGGCAGCTTCCAAAATGCTCGGCTGTACGCGTCGAGCGACTGCAACACGTTGGCCAACGCAGTGCCGGCCGCGCTACGGACGGGCACGACCCTCCTAGTCGGCATCTGGACGGAAGACGAGACGCATTTCGAGGCAGAAAAGCAAGCGCTGCTCGACGCCATCCAGCAATACGGCCACGACTGGGTCTTGGCGGTGTCCGTCGGCTCCGAAGATCTGTATCGCGGCGACACGGATGCCACCACGCTCGCGGGAAAGATCAACGACGTGCGAGGCATGTTGTGGGGACTGGGGGCCAGCAGCAAATCCGTCGGCCACGTCGACACCTGGACGGCCTGGGTGGACGGCGCCAACACGGCGGTGATCGAGGCCGTCGACTGGCTCGGCAATGACGCCTACCCTTACTGGCAGGGAATCGGCATCGACGACGGGGCGGCCAGCGACGCCTACTGGACCGCCGTCAACAACGTGCGCGCGGTCGCCCAGGGCAAGGATGTCTGGACCACCGAGACCGGACAGCCAGTTTCGGGCGACTCTATCGGCCCGGCGGTGCCCTCGGTCGACAGCCTGCAGACGTACTGGTGGCAGGTTTCGTGCGCGAGTTTCAACAGCCTGAACTATTTCTTCTACGACCTGGACGACTTCACCGCCTCACCCAGCTTTGCCGTCGTCGACTCCAACTACAACCCGCTGATCGACATGACTTGCGGCTCATGAGAGTGCAATGCGATGCGATGTTCAAGGCACAGTTCGTCTTTTCACTTCTCATCTCGCGTCGTCCATGGATTTATTTGATTTATTTGGTACTGCAGAGTAATCTAGCATAGCGTGAAGGGCGGTTTCGCAGCGTATCGCAGGTGGGAATGGGATTGGATTGAATATCGGATAGCCCTGCTCGTACCTTTTGTATCCAGACTAGGATGTCTGTCTGGTAAAATCCAAAAAGCCGCAGTGAGGAAATAATAATAGAGCATGTCCGTCGCCATCTGCCTGTGTCTCTCTCCAATCGATGGCCCCCTTTGCGCACAGATTCCATAGACAACAGCAAAATATCTCATAGACAACAACAGCAGAACATCTCAACATAACCCCCCTTGGCTGATGTAATATCGAGAAAAAGCAATGGCGGGCATACAACGAAAATCGCCGAGATAGAGAAAAATGAACAAGCCAGAGCTCAGATCGGCAAAATTAGATTCTTTCACGAGGAGTCAACCGATGTCAGTTCATGGTCATCATCGCTGTAGATTTGTTCATGCAGAACCATCCAGCGAGAGTGACCAGCGTCTCTTGGGCTTTATACACTTGTGAGAGATCGTTTCCTGCCTGCCTGTCCATCGAACACCATCTCCTGGACCAAGTCTTCGTCTTCATCGGATGAGGCATCTGGAAAGGCGAGAGGGATGTTTCTGGTAACTGGGACGGGGAAGGATATGGCACAGCACGATGCATGTGCGTATCTGAAACAACGCGAACTCTGGTTCGGGCAACTGGCAGGCGTGGAACTCGATGTATGCGGTATCTCGAGAAGACCGGCGATGGCCAGAAGGCTGATGGAGGGACGACGGAGCATGGTTAGTGAGCACGCAAGAGCCTCTGCCCAGATATCAACAGAGCGTGCCATCGTCGGCGGAACCACATGGTACGCACTACGTACAGTAGTAGTGTGTAGTCAGTCGCTTGGCCTGATGCTTTCTTCGAGTTGGATGTGCCGGTTTCCCTGTCCAGTATTAGTACGTAGTAGTAGGTGTGTAGTGTCTGCGAGTCAAGTTGTACCTGTGCACCCACCGAGATCAGTAGTAGCGAACGCACGGGGTGAAGGAGCAAGACTCGTCAGACAGGAGGAGCCTGGGCGGTTGACGCACTGAATCTGGGTGAGTGCGACCCTGGCATTCTGTCAGACAGCACGGCTTGTCCCAGTTGCCGCATGTGGAATAGCTTCGTCCGCGCCGGCCCAACCACAATTTTCGCTGCTGTCTGGGCGGCTGCGCCTCGCCACCGACACCCTCCCCTCCCACCTTTCTACTCTTTTCTCTCTCTCTCCCTCCCTCCCCTCTCTCTCCTTTCCCCTCTCCCACAAGCCCTGTATCTGGCGACCAAGCAAGGCGCCTGCTCCTTTCCCTCTACTTCCGGTCAACCGCTGCCTTGTATCGTTCGTCATGGCAGCAACAACCGTCGTCACATCCGTCCGCATCCTGTTCTACCTCCCACCATAAAGACCATCTCCAATGGCCCAGCGCGTGGGAGTCCCTGGTATCATGTAATGAGCCCCTTCGGTCTTATCCTCTGGTCAGTTGCCCTGACCAGCGAATTGTTCAATCGCCTTGTCCTTACGACCAATATCATGCCACTCCCGATCCGTCGTTGGTAGCGGAGGCTGTCGAACCTTATCCCTTCGACGGCCTCCAGACTCCCGACGACCTCCAACAGCTTGAAGATCTACGTCAGATTCTTGGGCAACAGCCGTTGGAGAGGGAGAGCTGGTCGTCGGACTTGGACACCGTTTCCTCCGCAGAGAATTCGGCCTCGACCGTGGATGTCGACGCGGTTCCGGCGGCATTTTCACAAAACTTCTTCATCAATCCTTTCGACGTCTCCTTTCCGGGAGACATCCCTTGTGCGACATCGGTATCGATGGTGGAGGCCGCAGGGCCGCAGACCTCGAGCTCAACATCGACATCGCACACGAGTCACACCTCCCCGAAATTGGTGTCAACGACGTCTTCCCCTACGTTCCCACCAACTGTCCAATGCAGAACCTCACCATTCATGGTGGACAGCCAGCCATCTTCAACCTTGGACCGACCAGTACCAAAGCAGAGTCCTCGACAAGCACCGAATCTCGGCCGTCAGATTCACTTTGTTGACATGGCGGACAAGAAAGGCGCGCAACGCCTCCGAAACACCATCAATTCTCGCAAGCATCGTCAAAATAAGCTTGACCGCATCCGCGAGTTGGAGGAGAAGCTGGCGGCTTGCGAAGCCGATAGGAGGAAATGGAAGGAGAGAGCCGAGGAGTTGGGGTGGACAGAGAATCGCGGCCGTGGTTAGCAGCAGCCCTATTGTATGGCTGGTCCAGTCATGATTTGTCTACATCTCTCGAAGCTCGTCTGTCTCGAGGGCTCTGTTAGCCTTGTATGAATTTACACACTTCCAGCCCATTCACTCTAGACTCTGTTTCCGTGGCGTGCTGATTCACTCGCTCCGACCGTGATGGAGTCGTTGGGTGGCCCTTCAGTTCCTAGACCGTAGCAGACGCATTTATTGGGTTTAGAGGTACGTTTGCAGGCGGTGCATCGGCACTACGGGCGTCTTATCTATAGACTCTCGTCAAGTGCAACGTATGAGAATGCCTGTGGTGCCTGTAATCAATAGTTGTGTCCTTGCTGGGACATTGAGAGCCTCAGCCCGAGAATGGGGGCCTGTGATTGGCTGAATTCCGACGTCGTCTCTAATGTCTGGCCGTTCTTCTTTTCTCCGTGGGTGGTTATTCTCCTTTCAGGGCTCTTGAAAACTCTGGGATGTAGTATTGTGTTATTTATCACCCTTGTTGATCCAGTCATGTTCATGCCCATGCCCATACCCGCGTTGGACGCCAAGTCGCACGCCCTGTATGGAAGCAGTCGGTAAAAAAAAGTCACCAAGTGAGACAGGTCGTACGACTGCACTGCACCGCACTCCGACCGCAAACTTGAAAGGGAGAATTCCGAGCCAGCATGGACGACACGGCCACGAGAGAGATCCTCGACATCTTGTCCAAGGCACCGCCGGATGAGGAGGACGACGAACGGTCTCCAACAAGCACAAGCACAAGCAGCCTGCGCCAGCAAGCGCACGAGCTCGTCTCGCATGGCATCAGCATCGGCACCAACGACACCAACCTCGACACTCTCCCCAACACACTCCACGACCTGCTCACGCGTATCATCAAACCGTTATTCACATCGACAAAACACCCGGCGTTGACCTCGACGGGGCGCAAGAATCTGGTGTCTTCCGGCCCGGCGTTGGCCGGCGCCACACGGTTCGACGACGCGGCAGCCAAACCGTGGAAGTCGGCGCCCTTCACCGTGCCCCTGCTCCGCTATGTCTTGACATGCTACGCGTGTCTGCCAGAGGCCCAGCGCCGGGCGACGGTCGAGGCGCATTTCTTCCTCCTGGTGCCGCCGGTGCTGAACATGATCGACGACAGCGACGCCGCATACAAGGCTGCCGGGTGTGGGTTGGTCCGTCGGCTGTGTGAGGTGCTTGTGTCCGTGAGGAGTGAGATGCTCAGGCGGACGGGGCTGGCGGACGTGTTTGTCGACGCGCTCAGGGCCAATTTCTTGCTGTTGCCGCCGCTGACACCCGAGGATGAAAGTCTCGCTGTGCTGCGGGAATTGTATCCTGCCTTTTTGGCGCTCGTGGATGCAAGATTTGTCGATCTCGGTCTGGGGACGGCGGCGCCAAAATGGCAGGATACAGTTGCTGCCGCTACTACTGCTACTACTACTGCTACGGCAACTGCAGCGGCTACAACGACGTCTGATACCACTGTGCCAACGTTGGTTACCACTACACCTGCTACCAAGACGGGTAATGCTGCGGAGGTGAGAGGTGTGGTCGTCGACACGACTACAGGTGGGGGTGCAGATACAAGGACTGGGGGTTCAGATGCAAAACAACCTATCCTGACAACCACGACCACAATCCCATCAACATCAACACCAACATCAACGCATCCGCAGAGCAAACCCCAGTCCTCTCGCCGAATCCAGCCAGCAGGACAAGCACCGGACAGCGACCAAGCTCGCGAATACAAACTACGCTCGTCCCTCCTGACAGCCCTCTACCGCCACGGCATTTCCGCCTCGTTGAGCCACCTCTCATCCTCGGCGTCCGAATCTCTCGGCTCGACCACCTCCACGCTCTTGACCACCCACCTACTCGCACAGATCCCGCCCGTCTTCGAGCGCCTCGGCATCGCCTGTGTCAGGCACTTTCAGACTCTGCTGCCCATGCTGCGCCTGTCGCTGATGGACCCCTTCACCCTGGCGGCGCCTCCCATGGTCCTGGCGGCCCTCGACGTGCTGGCCTGCGTCGTGGTCCTCGGCGGGCCCCGCGTCCGCGATAAATGGTACCCGGACATCCTGCGGGGTTGTGTTGGCTGTTGGTGTAATTGTGTAGACGAGATTGAGGTCGAGGGGGAGGGGGAGGGGGAGAGGGAGGTCGAGGTTGAGGTCGACGATGCAGCGAAAACGACAACGACAACGAATCCCACTGTAAACGCAAAAGCGAAAAAAGCTGCACAGCTTCAGCCTGTCATGGCCCGCCTCAAGACTCTCGTTGCCGCCCTGCGCCGCGTCGTGCCGCCCGACGAGTGGCTTGACTTGCACACCCGGCTGCTTGCCGAAGAGGGCGAGCTTGCCGATTTGTTTGATGCGACGGATTGACTGACTGACTGGGCTTATTACATCGGAGGGGGGGAGGGGAGGGGAGGGCACGAGTCACGATCTGATCAGAATGGAAAATGGTCCCAAAGTCCTGGGAAGCAGGCCGTCACGGGGGGAAGGATCATGATCATCATTAATATTGAGATTGAAATCAAAATCGAAATCAAGGTCAGGGTCGAAATCAAGGTCAGGGTCGAAATCAAGGTCATCAGGTCGAAATCAAGGTCATCAGGTCGAAATCAAGGTCAATGTCAATGTCAAGGTCCGGTCAATTAATATTCAAGTCTTGTATGGTGAAGTTCATCTCGGACGCCCGCAATGGCTACATGAAGTGAAGGCCAACATGGCCGACTGCCGGTGTCTGGGACCCGTACCGCAATCCGCTTTAACCATAAAATAATGTATGGACGTTTACAGTTGCACACTTCGAACAAAGCCGGGGGCCAATGGCTGGCTACTTCACTCGTACCGCAATCCGCGCTTTAACCGTAAGATATTGCATGGACTCAATAAGGCGGGGGTCAATGGCAACTTCACTCGAATACTGATACTGATAACCAACTCAAACAGCATCCGTGTTCTCGCCGACATCCGGGCGCTGCTTGAACAGACTCTTGCCCTTCAACCACTTCCGGTAGGCCTTGTACCTCTTCTTGGCGCCGTCCTCCTCGGACACGGTGAGGGGGTTCTCGACGGCGCCGCTGACAATGTACTCGGCGTACTCGTCGAGACTGGCTTCGGCGCGCTCTTCCAGGGTCAAGCTGACGGCGCCGCGTTCGTCGTCGTAGTGGCGCAGCACCTTGTGCTCGGCCGGGTCGCTGGTGGTCTTGCTCAGATACTCGAGAAAGTCGAGCGGGGCGGCCGAGTAGTCGATGTCGGACGACACGACCAGCGGGATGGTGGACGGGTGCGCCACGTAGCGCTGGTACTCGCCGGCCTGGCGGACCTGTGGGTCGAGCGACTTGGAGATCAGCGAGGTGAAGGCCTGCAGGGCCAGTTCTTCTTTCGTCGGCGGGCCTGCCACCAGCGACACGTTGGTCAGCTCACTCGTCGTCGCCGTCGGCAGCTTGGGGATCTTGGGCACCCCGGCCGACTGCACTTCGAACGACGGCTCCTTGATGATCCCCGTGTACTGTCGTCGCCGGAGCGTGTTCTGCAGCTGCTGCTGGGCGTCGAGCCACGGGCCCAGCGTGTTGGGTTTGGGTTTGGGCGTGGAGATGAGAGTCGGCTCTAGGGCCGATGTCCCGGCTGAACCGCCGTCTGCCGCCCGGACTGCCGACGTGTCATCAGACGGCGCGACGATCTTGACGCCCTTACGCGTCGTGGGGCCTTTGTCGTGGCCCTCACCGTCACTTTCGTTCGCCGTACGCACCTTGAACGGAGACAGGTCGTACTTGCCCGCCATCGTCGAGCTGAGGGGGATGTATCGCAGGTTCGAGTGCATTTTGAAAGAGAACAGCTTCTTGAACGATGACACCGCTAACGGCCGATAGTATTCCACCCAGAAATCGTCAAAGTAGCCCAATGGTCGGGTGCGGAACTCCCGCGGCCAGATGGACGGCGGCATCGTAGGCGACTCGAGGTATTCGGGCGTGTACCATTGTCGGTAGCTGGGTCGGCGTTTCCCGAACATGGATCGAGGGTCGGAGTGATGTAGGTAGTAATCCGTCGTCAGGTCCCACAGCATAGGTTGGCCTTGGACGAAGACATAGTTCCCTAGGAACAGGTTGTATGCTTCCTGTCTCTGCGCGTCCATGAATGAATTGGTGTAGTAGCGCTTGAAGCTCTCAACCATGTCCCGGGAGTGGCTGGTCCACTGGTTGATCTTGCGGTAGGTGGCCATCGTGTTGACGAGGTGCGAGCCACCATACTGGATGGCAATGGTGTCGCCATGGTCGTGCCACATGTGCGTGAACAGATTGACGGCGTCAGAATCGTATTCGACAGAGGGGTGCTCGATCACCCCCAGAGCCTGTAATTGATAACCGAGCGCCTTCTTTGCGATGACGAATTGGGCCGCGTTGGTTCGATCCAGGCAATCGATGCAGTTTGTTCTCGCCACGCCGTTTTGAAGCTTCAGTCCTGATTCTTCGTCGTTGCCGTTCTGGAAGAATCCCGTGCTGGGAAGAATGTCTTCAGCTATCGCCTCGAGACTGCCGATGACGTCTTGATCACGACTCTTAGACGCGCGACTCATATCCCACGCGTGGTAGAGGATTTGTTTGTCCATGGGCAGGAACTGATTGAGGTATTTCACGGCCACAGTGTATTCTTTGAGCAGCTTGGACTCTCTCGGAGTGCGCTCGCGAGACTTGACAAGATTGAGAACATAGATGGGTGTGCCATATCGTTTGAAAAGATTGTCGAAATGCAGAGCTGCCGCACTGAAGAACGGGTCCACCACGTTAAGATGGATGTCGGGCTTCGGTGAGACGCCGGTGTTATCCTGAGTCCAATGAAGAGGGATGCTGCCTCGATGTTGAACATACGAGGTATACCTGTTGTTCGCAAAGAGGACCGGTCCTGGCGCATGGAATGAGGTCATCAACATCTCCGAGACGATCTGTTCTGTCTCGACATCGTTGGCCACGTATCCAAGGTCGTTCGCGCCACGCTTCAGAAAGCGAGCGCCGGCGAAAAACCTCGATCGACGTGCGATGATTGTCACGTAGACCACCCTTCCCCAATACACCGACAGTGCACTTTGGTCGACGTAGCCATGCACAATCGACAGACACCAGTCAAAAGGCTTTCGCAGGACTCCCTTTGCAGGTTTGAGGAGGTGATGGTTCCATACAAACATGTCGTTGTGGTCGGCCTCCCGAGGCTCAGCAAGACCATCTTGCAGTGCTTGACGCTCACGCATGATGTTGTGCTGCAACGTTCGTGTCACGTCGTACGAGTAGCTGAAATAGAAAGACCTCGACAGGTCCAGGTTGTTCAGAATGCCAACGAATCGAGCTTCTTCGAGGTGCCTGTCCGTTTTCACCCTACTGGATCCCGCCATCACCAACGGCATGAGTTCTGTCTTGTCGATCTGATAGATATAGTGTCCGCCAATCATGGCCACCTGGCTTCTTTTCGTCACATAAAGCATGTAGTAGTGGGCGGTGAAGCGGATAAATCCGAGTAAACCCCAAAAGCTGGTTTTCAGTTTGAGACCTCCCGTTGCCCGATTGCCCTCGTCAATGGCGTTGAGAATCTGCTGCGTCTCCTTCTTCGTGTAGACAATGTCATCTTCAATGACGTTCAACTCGCCTGGTGCTGAGGTTCTGTCGATCTTCAAGATCCGGAAAGCCGAGTCCAACAGATCTGAGCCGACAATGTAATAGTAGGTTGCCGTTTCGTGCAGGGTGAACTTGTGCATTTTGACCACGCCCTCGTCTCCTACCTTCCCTACCAAAGCTCCTCGATTACGCTGGAGTGCTGTGGGGGATTGGCTCGTGGTTCGATTGAAGGATCTGGATAGATTGAGCTCCTCTTCATCGTCGGACTCTCTGTGTCCAGGCCCTAGCCGTGGTGATTCCGGCGGGTTATTCGAGAGTAGAGGATACATTTGAGGGACCTGCCTCTCACTGTCTTCGGATTCAATGCTGTCAACTTTGATGGGCTCCATATGTTTGGAATTACCCTCCTGAGTCTGCTGGCTAGACGTATGTTGGGAGTTGTGCTGCGAGTCGCCGTTGACATGTTGTTCTCCATCCTGGCCCTGGTCCTGGGTAGCGTCACCGGATTGGAGGGAGACATGGTTCTCTGTAAACTCCTTGAACGACTCCATCTCCGGTAATGGCCTCTCGCGGGCACGGGACGGGCTCGCCAAGAGGGCTCCAAACACCCATCTGTTCGCTCTACCCTGGAATGATTGACCTCAGATCTCAGGCGTGGCACCAGCCGCCTGTTCAATCAATCCGCATTTCGTCTCGGGTGACACAATACCATATGATGTGTAGAAGGTGTCTGGCTTTATGTATATCAAGTCACGAATGATATGTGGCGCTTCGCAACGAACAGCTCTGATGGTTGATGGTCGATGGTCGATGTCTGAACCTCGTCGTGCCTGGATGGCTCTGATGCCATATGACCCAATGCGGTTAGCCCCGCCAAGAAATCGTAACCGAGGCTCACCACCGCTTACGGGTAGTACAGTATAGGACAACCTAAGATCGAACCCCAGACATGTACGGATATAGAGAGGAGATACATCCAACACCTGGGTGCCCGGGCCAAGATGCTGACGGTAGTCCGAGGTGCTGTTGCCGTTCATATATCTCCTCAAATGTAGTCCAGATCTCACCGGAGGGTTAGGACTCCCTCAGCCTACTCCCTCAGCCTACACCCTATTCTGGCTCTTGAACACCAGCCATGGCTCCTACCACGCCCGCTCCCTTCTCCGAACCTCTCCTCCCGCAACTCGACCTCCCCGCCAATCCCTACTATACTGAGAAGCACCACCGACTCAGGGCATTTGTACGTAACTACGTAGACACGGAGCTGGCACCGTACGCGCAAGAGTGGGAGGTAGCCGGGCAGGTTCCGGGAGACGTCCGTCTACGATACTGTCAACTGGGGTTCTCCGTCGTCCATCCTGTGGTAGATGCCGCAGACGCCGGCGGAATCCAGCTTCCTGGCGGAATCGCCTACGATGAATGGGACACGTGGTGTGGAGTCATTGTCGGCGACGAGTTCAGCCGTCTCGGATGGTGTGGGCCAGTATGGGGCCTCAACGGCGGCAACGCGATCGGATGTCCTCCGATCAGCCGGTTCGGGACGAAAGAGCAGAGGCAGAGATGGCTCCCTAAGGTGGCGAGAGGAGAGCTGAGGTTTTGCCTGGGCATCACGGAGCCAGATGGGGGCAGCGATGTCGCCAACATCAAGACCACTGCGGAGCGCAGAGGCGACAGGTACATCGTCAACGGCTCGAAGAAATGGATCACCAATGGCATCTGGTGTGACTATTGCACGGCGGCCGTACGCACAGGAGGGAAAGGCCACGGCGGCATCAGTTTGTTGGTGGTGCCGTTGAAAGCGAAGGGCGTCACGACCAGGAGAATGGAGAACCAAGGCGTCCATGCGAGCGGTAAGCCGTATATCCTTCCCCTGTGGATTTCAGGCAGCGCGTGTGTACTGTTCTTTTTCTTGAACCAATGCAATCGAGCGTCTACTTCCTCTGTGAAGCAATGCAATCGAGCGCCTACTTCCTCTGTGAAGCAATGCAATCGAGCGTCTACTTCCACTATAAAACAATGCCCATCAGGTGTGCGTTTATGTCTTTAGTCATACTAACCAAACGGCTCGCTTGGACATCCAGGCTCGACATTCATTAGCTTCGAGGACGTGCAAGTCCCCCTTTCCAACCTGATCGGCCGCGAAAACTACGGCTTCCAGCTCATCATGTCCAACTTCAACCCGGAACGACTAGCTCTAGCCACGGCCGCTCTGCGCCTAGCTCGGGTCTGCGCACAAGATGCCTACACGTACGCATGCGACCGCGAGACATTCGGCAAGCCGCTGATCGAACACGCCGCGATCAAGACCAAGATCGCCACCTTTGGCCTTTTGATCGAGCCCGCCCACGCCTTTCTCGAGCAGCTGTGTTACATCATCGAGACGGCGCGCGTGGCCGGCCCCGGCCCCGGCACCGGCAAGGAGAGGGACGTCAACGTCAACGTCAACGTCGGCGGCATGACGGCCCTGCTCAAGGTCATGAGCACCCGCTGTCTCGAACGCGTGTGTCGCGACGCCCAGCAGATCATGGGCGGCGCCGCATATGCCAGGACCGGCCGCGGCGCGCGCATCGAGCAGATCAGTCGGGACGTCAGGGTCCATGTCGTCGGCGGCGGGAGCGAGGAGATCATGCTTGATCTTGCCGTCCGACAGGAGGCGAGGGACGTCGGGCTGCGGGCGGCGAAACGTGCTTCGTCCTCTAAGTTGTGAAACATCCTAGATGGGCCACCCTACACTCCACTCGATGCACACGGGGGAAATGAACAATTCGAGTGTCTACCTTACGCAGTGAGTGATATGGGGTCGTCCATACCCGTGGGGAAACTGCTTTCAGGAAGTGTGGTGCAGCTTGGTGATGCTATCCCTGTCCCTGTCACAAGACGGGCTCTATTGTCTCTCCGGCGTGACGAGCACGATCTTGAGGCCATAGGAAAAATAGAAATCTATCGGCAGGGCTGCACTGCACTGCTAAGAGCTTCCACCTCGACGTTTCGTGTCATCTCAACTTTTGAGCCTGGCCTCGAGGTAGGGCAGGCACTTTAAGAGCAATCTCGGCGCATTGACTCTTCAAATTCATGTCCCTAGATTTGATGATCTGTGTTTTCTCTGAACCTGCATTCCATCGTTCCTGCTCAGGCAGCTAGCTTATGACAGTCTCGGCCTCTTTCGTTCTATAAGCATTGCTGAAGAGTGTCGATGATGCCTTCCAACCTGTCTCCTTCCAGCCCCCTTTAAGCAGGTCACACCACAGTACACATCAAACAAGGTGGTAGACAACTACCTAACTACCGCCCCTGTAAGAGTCTTGACTGTACACCTGCCCTTGCCGGCAACGATCAGATCACCCTTTTCCTCGCCCCCAACCTCGGTCTTCGCGGCGTCGAAAGCGACCACACGCTCCTCCGTGGTGTAGAACCCAGGCTGGATTGCCTCCCATTGCTTCTTCTTCGGGTTGAGCTGTTTCTCGGGGCCACGTCCTGCGCCGTACGGCCAGCCCTCGAAGAAAACCGGGTCACCTGCTTCAGCACCTTCAGGAGGGGTGACAAGCTCGACGACTCGGTCGGCAGCGTGCGGGTCGGCGCCTTCCTCAGCCGGAGGCGAGGCTGCGAGAACCATGGCCGCGGACTTGATGCTGCGCATGTTGACGGGTTTGAGGTTGGCGACAACAATGACCTTGCGGTCTTGCATCTCTTCTAGCGGGACCAGTCCGTTCAATCCTGAACATACTGTCCTCACGACCTTGCCGGTGGCCTCGTCGATTTGTGTGTGCTCGGTGCCTTCCGGGTCGCCCAGCGCGATGGTGGACACGTACAGGCTGTCCGCATTGGGATGCTGGATTGCGCGCAGAATGTGGCCGACTCTAAGATCGATGAGTGCAGGAGTCAGAGGGGCCGCCGGGGGCGCTGCTTTGGGTGGCTTCGGTTGTTTGGGCGCCTTTTCCTTTTTCTTTGTAGATGCTGGTGGGTCCGAAGGAGATGCTTCTGTGGTGTTTGAACTGACGTTCTTGGAGATCTCACGATTGAGTGATTCCTTCACCTCGGTCGGGAGGGATTTATCGGCGGCGGAAGAGGAGTCCATGGCTGGGGTTGTCGTGGGAGTTTCGGGCTGAGGCTTCGTGCGACCGACGACGAGCGGCTTATGCTGGGCAGGTGGTGTGGAGGATTCGGACGTCATTGATTCGAGGGCTTGGGGTCTCTCTGTCCCGTAGCTCAAGTGCGAAGGTGTGCAAAGGAGAGATTTGGGTGACTCTTGGTTTCTATCGCTCGTTGGCGGAGATGTTCTGCTAGCCCTGTTCTCCGGATGATGGAAATGTTTTAGAGGTGCGCTGGCAGGACTTTCTGGGGGGTCTTTTCTGCCCGTCTTGATCTTGGAGTCTGCAGAATCTAAAAGTGACCTAGATCTCCGCGGTGCTCCTTCTGTGCTGTGCCTGGCTAGCTCTTGAGATCGAATGTGTTCTGGTCTTGGAGAAACGTGATCTGGCGGGGTTGTTGCAAGTCTCAGGATGGTTTCGGTCGCCGAAGAGGTCGGATCAATGGATCTGCAACGGAGAAAGGAGTGCAGATTGGTGCCCTGGGTCGTGTTCAAGATGCTCAAAGGGCCGATCGGTTGTTTAGAAGCGTCGAAAAAGTTGCGCGGTGGACGATGCAAGAGCGATGCGGTTGATTGTGCGGAGTCAAAAATTTGTGAGGGTGAGGGTGACTGTGACTGCGCCTGCGCCTGCGCTGCGTCTTCAGCTTTCCGTGTCGAATCGAGCGAGTCATGTGTAAGGTACACCTACTTTTGGTATGATGCTGCTGGAGACTCGTTGTCGGGCAAAGCGCCTCCCTGCGGCGTGTTGCACGTTCAGACCTTTATCTTCAGTCGCTGTCCACCTTGTATTTGCCCTTTGGGGCGCTCTTCGTTGAGACGAAGTCGGCCTATACTTGTCGGAGGCTCTGCTAAGGCGACCGACACTGTTGAGCATCCGCTTGCCTGAGACAGCACTCCTGCCCTGCAGGAGAATCTCCATGGCTGGCTGACTCGAGTACGGAGGCTTTTGGGTCTATGGTGATTGTGTGAGGATCAATTGAGTTGATGGATTTTCCTACACGATTCTCGCTAAGACGATCCCCTTTTTGCACTGACGGATTGTCCGGGTCTAGGAAATCCTCATGCCCAGCAGGAAACACTAGATTGCAAGCAACTTGATTCAGATTCTGCTCCAACTGTTATATTCGCGCAGGATAGCCATGGGGCTGGCCAGAAGGGCATGCACAATTGTTGATCCCGGGTCGGTACGGACAGGGTCGTCAACCTTTGTCGTCCTTGGATCTGTCTGGAACCCACGACAACAATAGTTATCTTTTCCTCAATGGATATTTTAAATCTTATTCTCTCGGCTTCGTTCGGTTACCTTTCTAGACAAGAGCGTATACCTAGAGCTTGCTTCTAGGAGTCATATATACAGGGTAAGGGAGGTTCACCACATCGTATACTTCCTTCTACTGATAGGGAACCGTCTTCCATCTCGACATTCCTCGCGAAGGGTGTCAGCACAAGCAGACCGCAAATATCCCCTGAGTGGCTTGAATGGGGATGAGGTGTTCATTAGACAGGCTCGCCCACACCTTAGCTGGGAAGTGGTGAGGGCTTCTCGCACAACGAGGCTTTTTGTCCTCATCTCCAGCTCGTTCTGGAGCGTGAAGATCAGCAGAGTGACCGTTGTGTCTAGCACGATATCTTCCAGGGTCGCGGACGACGGGCTATGTGCTTCCCGTTCAGTCCAATGTAGTAGTTTCGATCTCCAAGCCAAGCCTCCAGTGTGAGAGTCGTCTTCAATGTCATGATTTACTTCCATCTTGGACGGGCTCCTGTCCGGTTGAGCAGTGGCTCTCCGCACCTGTACTCGTAAGAGCGTCGGACGGCTTGCCATTTGACTGGTGTCTTATTTGCTGAAGGGATCCCCCCGCTGCCTGAGCCCTCTGCTGGTCGAGGTTACGGGCATCAGATGCCCGGGGACGCTTTGACTGAAGTGAAGGAAACATTTAGAGAGGCTTTGACTGCTTTCGCAGAGCTCTAAACTTAGCATATGCCACAGAGACAGTCGCTGATTTAGGTATCGTCTATCGTTTATGGAAGAGTATGAGGGAGAGACAATAGTGGGAGAGGAAGGATGGTTGATGGTTGAAAGAGTACCAGGTTCGGTTCAGGAAGGTCTGACGAGGACAGATATACGGAGTACGAAGTACAGGATACGGATACGGATATGGAGTAATTACGGAGTACCTAGGTCAGTATGTACTGTGGATGCCAGGCGCGCCTAATTAGACATCACCTTGTCTGTTGATTAGGACTACCGATACGTACCAGTACAGAGTTCGTCCCATCCCATTCCCATTTTGTCCATTCTCATGCTAGATACAAAGCAGTCCTCTTCGGACCAAGTCATGATCGTCCTTATTGTCATCAAGAAGGATCAGGATCAGGATCGCATTCAGTTATTTTCCTCCGGCTCGGGTGCTCTACTGCGTGCTACAACCCTCCACGATCAGCCTCCGCCGCGGGAACGCCATGCATGCGGACCCTATACAGGCACGTGTGATCTGACCCGTGGTTGGACATGACCCGGATCACAAACGACCGCGCGGCATACAAATGTCGGTGCTGATTGACGGCCAGCGGAAACGCCTGGACGTGGTTGGCCTCGACCGAGGCGTCATACTCCAGCTCCCCAATCAAGGCAAATGTCGGCCCCATGGTGCCGTCTGCCTGCACCTGCATCTGCCTGATGGCCAGGCCCTCCCATTCTCTACTGTCGAGATGGTCAAAGTCGGCCCAGACCTCGATCTTCTTGGGAGTCGACCCGGGGAACCGCGAGCCGGCATTCGGGTAATTCTCCACCACCAGTTCGGTCGGGAAGATCATCTCAGTCACCTTGACCCCCAGTCGCATCGAGTCTTGTTTGCTCGGGTTGGCTGACGAGCACCAACAGTCTCCCACGTCTTGCCATGGCATAAGCGCGGTGATGGCCTGCTTCGTCTCATATATCGTCATCCCGGCCATCCGCAAGATCACTCTCGGCACCAGTCGCAGCGGTCTCTGCCTAGTGGGCGATGTCAGGCGTGGCTCAATCTTCGCCCCATTGTTGGGCGCAAAGAAGTTGACTTTTGCAATCACGGGAGATGCCACGTCGCCAGATGAGGCCGGTCGCCCTGCCCTCAGCCCTGAAATGTGATTCGATAGTTCCGAGTGTTGTTTCCGCAGTGCCTCAATGTCTTTGTCTACTACCGCGTACTGTGACTCAAGCTTGTCGCTGAGTCGTGACTCGATGGCGCGTATCTGGCTGTGGATTCCGGTAAGCGCTGTAGAGAGCCTGGATAGATCGCCTCCGTCGCCGGATGTGAGGTTCAGAAGGTCGCTCGGACTCCGTGTACAGCCTCCACAGTATTTCTGCAAGGTCTGGCCTATGGGAGAACTGGAATATGGGTCACACACGTAATTAGTGTATGTATAACAGAAGAGAAAAGCGGCAGCACTGGCGACGAGTAGCGCGAAGAGAAGGTTGACCAAGACTAAAATAAAGGGCGAGTTCGGAAGGTCGTCGACTGCCCTTCCACTGGCTCGAAAGAGTCTGGAGAGCCAGTGGGACACTGAAATCAGTATATGTGATACCGTCTGGCGAGAATGGTCGGCGGCTGCTTTGGATGCTTTCCACGCCTGCTGTAGGGAGCTCTCTGCCCCTCTCCTCCGTACTGTGACATTGGGCCTCCGAAGACCGCGCTCGTAATTGTAGCTGTGATCGAAGATCCCACTAGGAAAGCTTGACGGATCGGTGTCCTTGTGGGTGGCATCGTCAGGAGTGCTCCGCACCGAACTGCTGTCTTCCTCTGGTATTTCGTCAAGCTGGCCGCTCTCGAGTGAGCTCGCCCACGCGGCAACCCGCTGGGTTTTGTCCTTCTCCACGTCATCGCTGGCGACGGATCCTTCTCCGGAAGCCTCGCGCGATGCTCGGCGACGAGCCCTTTCCGCCCGGGTTTCGGTTTGTAGGTTAGCGCGAGTCTCCTCGATATGAGTTTGAAGATGTTGCTGTGCTTGCTCCACCCCAGCATCGATGGTCTCAGCCATTTCACGTAGATTCATCTTGTTGCGGGCCACCAACTGTGCCGGCAGCACAGGCGTTTTACTGGAGCCATATGCATATGACTGCTGGATCTGGACCTCCGGAAGCTTGGGATTGTTGAGAGCTCCTTCGGCTAAGCTCGGTTGTTGAGAGCCGCCTCGGGTGACTCTCTTCGGGATGGCATCCTCAGGTGTTAGGACACTGCTTCCACGAGTCGATCGCCTGGATGGAGAAGCGGCACGAATAGGCGTCACACTTGATGCCCGTGCCGCAGACCGCCGGGGTGGCATTTTGGCGCATAAGTGTGCAGAAGGTGTACAAGGATGTCAACCCTGGGCGCAATCTCGACTGAGGACGCGCAGATAACGAAAGGCCAGCGAGTCGAGGTCCTGGTACATAGATCGGTGGGGGCGAGCAGCTGCGCGTAGCCTGACTATAGGAAGTAGTCGACGCCGGTCCACTCCATCGACACCATGGACTTCGGGCGTATATGGTCAAGCTATCATCCAGTAGGGTATTGATCCAATATCCGGGTGATTGATGGCGCCACAAGCGTGAAGCCTTGTGTTGAAATGTGAATTCGGGGATTCCGCTCGTGTCTCGTGTCTTGTTTCTTGTGTTGAGAAAGTCGAATCCGCCAAGTGACAGGGATTGCTCTGGTCTGAATTACAATTAGCCACAGGGCGTAGGACAGACTCGATGTGATGCGGCTACTAGGTAATAATCTAGGCACTATTCTTGTCTTGTTGTTCTTTGTTTGGACGCGTCTCGGACTTCGTTCACGTTTTCTGTTTTGGGCGACACGCGCATTCCAGCCACTTTCGCGCTCACGTGATCCCACGGTATCAGGCTTGGCCTTTGGACATCAACACCACCACCTATGGTCGTTGAAGGCAGTGAAGAGTCCTACTATTGTGCTATCAACCTCAGACGTACATAACAATCGGCGATAAGGTCACCGGTAAATTACAAAGAGCTATCCCTAAATTCAAGGGGGCCTCCCGCTCAATCTACGATCATTTGTTCCAACCTTGCACGCTGGTGATAGTACATGGCATCTTCATCAGTTCATAGGCATACGGTATCCCTTGCGTAAATGACCTTTTCCCTTCGTGCAGATCTTGCAGCTGCTCAAATCCCCGACTCCATTTCTTTGCTCGCTGCTCTCTCCACAGGCGATGTGTCATCGAACACCTCTTCCTCCGACAGGACTCGCGTCATACTACTCGCACTCCGCCGGCTCTGTCCTGCCCCTGCCCCTGCTTCTCGGTCCTCTTCAGACTTCGGCCCCGAAACATAATCGCCCGGACCCTTGCTTCGATCTGGGATGTGGAAGCGGAGGTCAACGCGGAGGATAAGGTACAGATAGATGACCAAGATTTCGATTGTGAAGTTGAAGAAGTAGAAGCACCATTTGGCGTGGTACCAGGCAGGATCATTTCGCGGCCGGGGGTTTTTGTATGTGGTCGCCGAGCGGAAGGATGCTCCAAGACAGAGGAGGACCGAAGACGTCAGCAATATCGTGATCTTGGTCCTCCATCTACCGCTCCCGAACTTCTCGAGGCGGGTCTTTCGAGGAACAATGAGGCCGAGGATGACCATGAGTATGGGCAGGAACGAGATAAACAGTAAGTATGTCACGGCGGTCAACTGCAGATCCCGATCGATTCGGTGTGTGTTGGCACTGAGAGTATAAAAGGACTGCACCGTCCCCGTGATAACCATGGCTAGCATGGCCCCAATCAAGACATACAAGACTTTGAACGCAGCAGACAGAGCTTTGTGCCAGCCGAAGTATGGATGCGCAGCCCGGATGATCCTCTGGGCGAAAATGAGATTGATCAGGAAGAGGATGAGGACACCGGCCGAAACGAAGATGGACGCCGCAATTCCGACCTGTACGTCGGTGGGATACACTGCCCACACAATACGCTGCAATCGAATCAGCGTGCATGCTCAGTGCCAATAGAGCACCGGAGCCTACCATAATGCTGGTCACAATTCGTGCCATGCAGAAGCCAAACATCAAGGCGCTCATGATGAACTTGTGGCCTCGTCTGCGGTTGATTTGGAAGATAGTCATGTTGCCAGCTGCCCCGAGTACAAAGAGAAACAAGAAGACACTGCATATGGGGACATCAACTCCAACAGTGGGAACACCACCCACTGCTGCTGTTCGAGGAGGATATGGGGGGCCCATCTGCTGTAAAGTATTAGACATATTCGCTTTCGTTTTCGACAACGACGTACGCTCTGTGGGGCTGCCATCTTGGAAGACTGGACGAGCAGTATCCGTATTCCCGTTAATTTCGTCGCAGAGTTGCTAAGAGGGATGCTTCGAGGATGTCGAACAGCGCAAGACGCATAGCGAGGAACAGCACCGTCCTTTTATTGATGGAGGGAGATCTGTGTGTGACGATAAGCGTACTGAATGGCAGCATCCTGCTCCTCGTGTTGGTCGTTGGTCGGGCGAACTTGTGGCCGTCTCGGTCTGGACAAACGAACTGGAAGTGATCAGGAGATCGTACGAGCCCCTTAGCCGTATACTCTATAGAGCGGGGCGGCAGGGCGAGTGAGGAGTTGGCCAATGAAGAGCGAGTCGGCCGGCATGCTCGCCTTCCGACACCCCCGACTTTCAGCGAGGAGAAGGGGAGACGTCGGTGACGCCCTGGCCACTACTACGAGTACGAGTCCTCGTACTGTCTCGAGAGCTGGCAAAGTTCTTCAGGTCAGGGCAGATCGCCCTACTAGTACTTACGGTAACGCCCATGTGGCTCCCCTACCTTCACGGAGTATGGTGAGTTTGTCGCCGACAGAGGTGTGGACTCAGGTGCGGCCATCAAACCAGCTGTGAAGGTTAAAGCTGGCGATTCTCTGGAGGTAAGAGCCTGCACGTCATTTCTCATGTGATGTCCCAGTCTAAGAAGTAAAGTCTGCTTTTTCATTGCCTTTCGAGAAGAATCAACCCACTTGCTGTGCAAGACGCTTTTCTTGTGTGTACGAGCGCTCGACCAGGATGAGGACAGGGTTGTTCGAGCATCGAAGGGTAAGGTAGGTTTGCCGAAGACAAGAAGCGTCCAAGTCACAAGTTAGTACCAACGATGACGTCGGGCCACAGACGCCTATCTTCGCTACCTACTTAGCCCCAATTAGTGCTGGCTAAAGATACTAGCTGGTCGGCAATGGGCAGGTAGGCCGGGGTACTAACTGTTCGTAGTAGCACGGCGAACGCAGGTCCCATCATGCATACTGCCGACCCCGTCAGGCAACAGGTTGTATTCGTCGGCAGACTCAGACTCCATCGCATGCCTTCATTCTGAATTGCAAACAAAGCAAAGCAGATCACACACCATCTGTCTCTATTCATCACCGACCCTACCCTGTACCATCATGGCTCCCACTCCTGGAAGCGCTCTCAGAGCGGACTCCCTGCTGGAATACATGGCCAAGAGCATCCCGACCCCGGCTTCAGATTCTCCCCGACAAACGCTCGTCAAGGATCCTTTTGCTGCGATTGCTGTGTTCTCCCATGCTTGTATGCTTGCGGTAGGGTTTCGACTCATCGGGCTGGGCGAAGATCACAACATAGGTATGTGCATGATGTCCAGTCGCGCGCAAGCAATCGTATCACTAACAGGACGCAGAAACTCGCTCCGAGTCCCAAGATGTACAGCCATTGCCATCTGATTGGGACGCTTCCTCCTCCTATGCCTTCCGATATGCCCATTCTCAGTCTTCCATGGAATTCCTCGTCAAGGTGAACCGTCTGGGTGGCAAGGCCCTTGTGTTTGGTGCCGGCCTGGGCGATGACAAAACCGCTTCTTTCGAGGTTAAAGCCGATGACTACATCTCAGAAGGCTCTCTGAAGGAGGCCACCACGAGTTCCGACAAGGCATCAGCTCTGAAAAATGTGTTTATATCTAATGGGCGTATCGCGGATTTGGCTTCGCTATTCAAGGTGAACATCATTCAAAAGCTGGCACCGGGCATTCAGAAGGCTGGGTATGAAGACACCCAGTCGACCCTAGAACAGCCCAGGCGGCACGAAGAAACTCGCCCTCCCGAGAATGATCCCTTGCGAGATGACCATCCTCGACCTGCCCGCCCATACCCTTTTGATGATCCATTAGCGGCGGGGCCACGAAGACCTCAACCGCCGGGTGACTTTCCGCCACCGGGCTTTGAAGACGAATATGAGATCAATAGACCCGGACGGGGATTTGCAGCCGGTCGCCAGCCGTTTGGGAACATCGGGGAAAGAGATCTCTACCCACCTGGTCTGGGTCCCCATGATCCTCTCAGGATAGGACCTAGAGGAGGGTTTCGTGGAGGCGGTGGAATGCACCCTACATTCGATGATCCTGTATTCGGCGGACAAGGTGGAGAAGCTCTGTACGATCCAAGCGTGCCTCCTGGAGCACGATATGACCCGATTGGACCAGGTGATGGGCCGCCCAATCTTCGAGGAGGGTCCCGTTTTCCTGGTGGTAGAGGTGGTGGTTTCGGGGGAAATCCATTTGGTGGCTTTGGAAGCGGCGACTTCATATGAACGCTGTACACTAATGACACGAAGAGACGAATATCACGAAGAAGCAGAGGGTTCAACGACATGCATATTTAGCTAAGCTTTAAGACGGTCTTAAGCCGTGAGGGTTGAAAAGCATTACATACCTTAACATCCGGGGATGGAAGTGATCTCTAGAGGCCTGGCCTGGCCTGGCCTGCAGGAAATTCTTCTTGATCACCAACTGGCTTGAGAGAAGACTACTGTGACATACATTCCCAGGTAGTTGCAGTTAATCAATACTCATATACTAAGAGCATGCTGGACTGTCACTCACTTCTCCTATCTTGAGAGTCGGGCTTGGCGGGGCGTTGAGCTGGAGGCAGCCTATTATTACTCCTAGGACCTATCACGCCTGTGGCTTGTAACCAGCACTGCATGGTATGTCATGCCCGCAACTTAGGTTCATGACAGAACAACACCACCACCTTTTCCATTCAACACTTCATCTACACCCCATTCTCGCATCCCTTTACCTTTGTCAACTCCAGTTGCGCGCGTGATATTCGCCCACACCCTTCCCTGCCCACCTCAGACACCGTTGTCGCTCGGCGAAGCACGACCACAACAACTTTTCCGCTCAGTACACGACATCTTCAACGACACTCATCACCTCCTCCGACCCAACCCTTCCACCCGAAACCTATCGCGCCGTTGAATTTTATGTTTGACCATGGATTCAAAGATGGACGTTGACGTTGGCAAACCGGCGCAGCCTCATGGTCTGTCGCCCGCAACAGACCCGCAGTCGATATCGACCCTGGATGGTTGGATCGAGAGCTTGATGGACTGCAAACAATTGGCCGAGAGCGATGTCGCGAGGCTTTGCGATAGAGTGAGCAGGAGTGTGCTCCAGGATCATGACAAGAAACTGATATTGGTGACAGGCCCGGGAAATCCTGCAAGAAGAGTCGAATGTCCAACCAGTGGTAGGGTAAATCCTGGTCATGATCGAGTGAGATGCTAACAAAGTGTAGAAATGCCCGGTCACAGTCTGTGGCGACATTCATGGGCAGTTCCACGATCTAATGGAACTGTTTCGCATCGGTGGACCGAATCCTGACACGAACTACCTCTTTATGGGTACGTTGGTTATCGAACAAGTCTGGAGAACAGTGATTGACTTCAGATCAGGAGACTACGTGGATCGTGGCTATTATTCCGTCGAGACCGTGACCCTCCTTGTTGCCCTCAAGATCCGATACCCTTCTAGGATCACCATCCTGCGTGGTAACCACGAATCCAGACAGATCACCCAGGTGTACGGGTTCTACGACGAATGTCTGAGGAAATATGGCAATGCAAACGTCTGGAAATACTTCACCGATCTCTTTGACTACCTCCCTCTTACCGCCCTCATTGACAACCAAATCTTCTGCCTGCACGGCGGGCTGTCGCCCAGCATCGACACCCTCGACAACATAAGATCCCTCGACCGGATTCAGGAAGTGCCTCACGAAGGACCAATGTGTGATCTCTTGTGGAGCGACCCAGACGATAGATGTGGATGGGGCATCAGCCCCCGAGGTGCAGGATACACTTTTGGCCAAGACATCTCGGAAGCATTTAATCACAACAATGGTTTGACGCTGGTGGCCAGAGCCCATCAACTGGTCATGGAAGGATACAACTGGAGTCAAGATAGGAACGTGGTGACAATCTTCAGTGCCCCGAATTACTGCTACAGATGCGGCAATCAAGCCGCCATCATGGAGATCGACGAGCATTTGAAGTACACTTTGTAAGGAGACCCTATCTGACCGCGCTCTTTTCTGGGCAAAACTGACGAATATCTGCCAGCTTGCAATTTGATCCCTGCCCTCGCGCCGGTGAGCCCATGGTCAGCCGAAGAACACCGGATTACTTCCTCTAAGCGAGAGCCCTGCGTTATGCATCCTGTGATGCCCATGCCGGCATAGAAAACAAGGCAGACTGGGCCGAGATACATTTTGTTTCCCTTGGGTTATGCCGTGGCAAGTGTAAGAGGAAGGATGACGTTAATGCAGCTTGATCTTCGACGGAAAGACACATGAAGACCGAAGAGAAAACTGCGAGACGAGACTGGCACGGGGACGGGACGAGGAAATGCTCATAGACAACTACTACACAACATTTGTTTTGCACACTGGCAGGCAACTCATATCCTCATATCCGCAGGCCGGGCGACGAAGGTCCTTGCCACGTCTCACTGATTGGTCTCTTTGCTCAAGATCGCGTCCACCACGCCCGCTGTTAAATTGTACTAGAGAAAAAGAGAAGACCATTAATGAAGTGAAGAGCCTTTGGTATCGAACTCCAGCCTCGCAAGTTGGATTTTGCCTTCCCAAACTTAGGCTAGTCGTAGTTCAGTTGTTATTTGCCCGTTCGCACACCCTCTGCTCGCTCGGATTTTCCTTGCATGCAGCGCCCAATTTCCGAGGTTACATGTAAATACAGTCGACGGGTGCAGAGATTCTTAGTCATGCGCCCAGCTATCGATCTATTTTACGGATGCATGCCACGCGGGCCAGAGGGAGCCAAGCCAGCTTCAAAACTAGGACTCGTCCCCTTCCACAAAGGTCGGGACACTAGAACTCATCCCCTTCCACAAAGGTCGGGACGTAGTCGGCCTGGGTGGCATTGAGAGTCAGGGGCCCCTTCTTGACCATGAGGGTCATGACCTCGTACAGGACGTCGGCGGCGGCCATGGTGGTCAGCTCGGCATTTGTGTCGTAGGCCGGGGCGACCTCGACGAGGTCGGCGGCGACGAAGTTGATGCCCTCGAGGCCGCGCAGGATGGTGCGCAGCTCGCGGGTGCTCCAGCCGCCGGTCTCGGGGGTGCCGGTGGCCGGGGCGAAGGCCGGGTCGAGGGTGTCGATGTCGATGGACAGGTAGACGGGGTTCTTGGTGCCGACGCGCTCCTTGATGCGGCGGATGATGCCGTGGACGCCGATGGTGTCGATCTCGCGGGCCTCGACGCGCGTGAAGCCGCAGTAGCCGTCGTTGTCGTAGTCGGACGGGCCGGACAGCGTGGTGCGGATGCCGGCGTGGATGGAGCTGTCGTTGGCCAGCAGGCCCTCCTCGCTCGCCCAGTAGAAGTAGGTGCCGTGGTTGATGGCTGCCTGCTTCGACGGCGCCCCGCCAAACACCTTCGGCTTCCACGTGTCCAGGTGCGAGTCGAAGTGGATCACGCTGATCGGCCCGTACGCCTTGTTGATGCTGCGGAGCAGCGGCAGCGTGATCGTGTGGTCGCCCCCGAGCGTGATGATTCGCGGCAGCGTCTTGCCCGCCTTGCTGAGCCCGGCCTCCTTGGCCGCCGTGAACGGCGTGCGCATCAGGAGCGCGTTGTGCCCGTCCTCGATCTGCTGCAGAGCATATTCGTTGTCGTACCTGAATGTGGCCAGATCAGCCATTTCCTTGTCAGCTCGCTTGTCCTGCGCCGCCGGAGTCTCTCCTTTCGTCCCGAGCTGATCGAGAGGGGACGGGGGACCCGGAAAAACTTACGAGGTCACGGGAATGTCGCCGCAGTCAATCACTTTGCCCCAGAAGTTGAAGGGGTTTTCTTGCAACGGTCTGACAGGTACATATTGCACGGTTAGCTTTCTGTCTTTTTTCGTCCTTGGTGGACGATCGACCCAAGGAAGGGAAAGGTAAATATTCGGGACTGGATCAGGATCAACACTCACACGTTGTATCCACCACTGAAGCCGACCCTTCGTGAGCCTTTGATGCACCGGAAAAAAGGAGTGTAAGCCTGTGAGTAGGATCGTAATGAACGTACTATAGATTCAGTCGTCTCGAACCTTGTCTGATCCCGCTCGGTCCGAATCGAGCTCCAGGTCGATACGAAGTGCCGGTGTCGAACGGCGCGCCTGGTGATAGCAATCCGAGTGCTCTGTTAGTTTCGGATCTCTCATGGTCGCTGGATCTGGATCTGGATCTGGGTTTATTCTTTTGGGGTTGTTGTTTCTTTTGGTCCACACTAACGTACCCAAGAAGGCAATGTCATATTTCTCCTCGTCGCTCGCAAGGCAGGGGAAGTAAGGCAGACGGCCGAAGGTCGAGATGCCGGAAAAGACAGAGTCGGCCTGTTGCGCCTGGTCAGCCTGGACTATCCCGCCAGGAGTCAAGATACCCGGGTCCAGGTCCGGCTTCTCTCACCTGTGTGCCACCGTCACCTGGCAAGGTGTTGTACCACAGCGACTTGTGCGGTCCGGCGATGGGGGTCTGGTCGTGGTCGTGGTCGCCGTGGGCAAGGGCACAGCTGGCACAAGCCGCGAGCAGGGCAAGCGGTTTCAATTGCATCTTTGCTTTTTGAGAGGGACAAGCAGTCACCCAGAACAAACGGAACAGCGGCAAGGGTGCAGAGGAGGGCAGGTACAGGTAGGCCAGGTAACGTTCACGAAGGGGAAAAAAGATACCCTGCCCCGCGAAGTACTTGTACTGACGAGAAACCTATCGGCCAAGGGCGCCAGGGTCCGCTTCTCACCTTTTTGCCCTCTCAATCGTGATGATGGGTGATGGATGATGCACATAGCCTAAGGTAGCTGCTAGCTAGCTGTAGCTGTAGCTGTAGCTTAGCTATAGCTACGCCCAAGCCAGTTCCTGCAGATAGGACCGGCGGTAGGTCACGGATCTGACCACGCCAATAATGCATGACTGGTTCCTGTTACCTAACATCGACTTGAAGTTGGGCTGAATCTGGGCCACGGGCCTGACCCTTGGACGATGATAACAGGACTTTGCCTGCCGAGCTGGGAGCTGTGACCGAGCTGTGACCGATTCCAATATGGCATCGCCCCCGCCGTCGCCTTCCATTGCAAATAGAATCTCCAAACCATGACGGCATAAGAAAGAATGGGTCGCTGGCTCGCAGACTACAGATCTCCGACCGACCGACCGACCAGATCGAACTGGGCACCTACCGTACCTTCAATGGGTGGGCTCAAACAACTTTGGGGACCCTTCCCAAGGAACGCATGTCAGCGGTCTTGGGGGCGGGGCATGCGCAGGGAGCTGGGATGCCCACCACTGCACTGCAGGGAGCCACATGGTCGAGCAGCAGGACACTGGACAGTGGACAGAGGTGGGCGATGAATGAACCCGGCACCTGATGAGCCATCCGGCATCCGGGGACGGCGCGCACATGTCCATGTACCCATGTAGGACGGCCGACGGGAGGGATGGCCAAGTTGAGCCAATGCTGTGTGTCACGGCGTGGTCATATTGCTGTATGGATCGGACAGATGCTTATCAGTTGTATCAGCAGGAAAAGGAAGAGTGTTTGGATTTTGTAAGACGTCGAGAGAAGATTCCGGCGCTAGTCCACAAAGGGCAGCCTGTAAGCGTTGTAATGTCAGGACAGGACCGTTACTGGCTCCAAGACAGGCCCGGTACGGGCTAAGCAGGCCCAAGGAGCCCACTATTCCTGATAGTATGGTAGATCTAATAGTTATCTATCTCACCAACATGATACATCCATGTCATCAACCATGTGCTTTTCCATCCATCTGTAGCTATCCGTCCTCCGTCTTATGTCTTCCGTACTGTGGACGGAATCTCTAACCCAGTTCGTTTGCGTCATGACTCTATTCACTGTGGTCCATTTGCCACCGGCGCCGGTGTAGGTGCAGACGGGTCAGCTTGGCCATTCTCGGCCAGCTCGTCCTTGTCCATGCGGTCAAATGCCTTCTGAACCTGGTATTCCCAATTGCTGAAGGCGACAATGACCCACTCCGCCGCTCCAACAAGATACAGGGCGATGCACTGGCCGACCCAGAGCCCGGGGAGCCCCCAGCCGTGGAATGCCAGCCAGATTCCCAGGGGCAAGGCGCCACAGTAGTAACTGACAAGGTTGACCGCCGCTCCTATGTGCTGTCTGCCCATGCCTCGCAGTGATCCCCCGCAGCTGCCGTTCAAGCCGTCTGCGATCTGGAACAGAGCGACATACGGCAACACCTGCGCAGTGAGCTTGACCACTCTCTCGTCGTCATTGAAGATCTTCGCAAAGTCGTTTCGTGTGCCCAACAGAACGGCCAGGACAAGGGCGCCCATGACCATGCTGAGCCAGGCGGCGACGTTGGCTGACCGAGCTGCTCCCTTGGCGTTGCGCGATCCGAGCATGTTTCCAACCCGTGCGCTGGCAGCAACTCCGATCCCGAAGGGGATGGTGTTCATGACCTGATCGGCCGTCATAATGACACTCTGGGAGGCCAACGGAATCTCGCCGAGTCGGCCCGCAGCCAGGGCGACGATTTCAAATGCCCACCATTCGGTCCCGACGTGGATGACTCCGAGGATGGCGAGTTTGGCGAATGTGCCCAGGTTCTGGAGGCATCTCTTCGTCCAGCCACCCCAGCATTCGCCGCCTGCGACGAATTTCGCATAGAGCACAAGCCCCAGGAACGACAGCCAGTAACCGATGCCAGTCGCAAACGGAGCAGCAAAGATTCCCCAGCCCGCGACATAGACGAACAGGTAGTTCAGCAATGCACTGACGGGTGATGTGATTAAGAGCACATATGTTCCTGGTCGCATAATCTCCTGTGCTTGGAGATACTTCTTCATGGTCTCGAAGTAGATGTACCCCAGCCCGCCAGGGATCAGACAGCTAAGGAATTTAGAGCTGTCTCGCGAAAGCTGGTCACTCTGGCCCAGGGCTTTGAAGACGGGCTCCGAGCACAACCAGAGGATGGCAACGGGTAGATAAAACAGGGTCAGGACCACGAAGGCCCGCTGCAGCAGAATGCCCAGATCGTGCTTGTTTTTGCTCCCCGTGAACGTCGAGGATGCAAGAGTGTCTAATGCCGTCGAGCCTCCCATTCCAATCAGCCAGCCTGAGCACATGGCAAACATGTATGAGAAGGCAGCTGTGGAGAGGTCCTGTGGCGAAGCTCGGCCGACGATCAGGATAGAGACTGTCTGGAGAGAGTTCTGCAAAGTGTATGCCAGAATCACGGGAACGGATCCCCGAAACAAGACCCAGAACTCATGGAGGATGAGCTTTCGAGCAGGCGTTTCGTCCTCGGGCAGAATGTCGAGGAGTTCACCTTCGTCCTGGCTGGTTGAGCGATCATCGTCATCCTGCTTCTTCGGTAACAGGCTGGTTTCCTCGTTGGGTGTTTCTTGGATTTCCTCGTCCATCATGGCAACCGAGCGAGCTCTTTTTAACCGTCTATGAGTATGACGATCGTAATCTCTCCCAGTGAATGCTGACTTACCACAAGAACTATACCTGCGCACTCTTGCACGAGTTGTCAACAGGGAGACGATGCCGTAGGTAAGCAGCCAGAACAAATTGATCAAGGTCGTCAAAGAGTCAACAGGAACGAGGTCGATCGATGTCTCGTCGATGCCCCGCCCCACCACGATATTAGCCTGCCCGGTTTACTGTATAGTTATACGTACTCTGTACAAAAAGCGACACGTAAAGGAAAGCGTCAGTGCAGTAGTAGGGCGAAAAGGATGACAGCACTAAATGATCTCCTCAGGGGAGAGGCCTCACGTGCAAGCATCGGAAAACACATTACATTACCAATGGTTCAATCTGGGATGCTTTGTCGGTGGTTTGGTTTCTAGTTCCTTATCTTCAGCCGTGCATGTGAAGCTGGTTAGGACCCCCACTGCGTAGCCTGGGTCCGGCCCTGAGGGTTTTAGGGCTGGTGGTACAGATACCTGGACCTCCCAGGGCCCAGGGACGGACACGGCAGTTCCTAGTACTGGTGATGGCTTTCCATGGTCAGGGACTACTCCGTACCTTACGGAGTACACAGCAACGGGGAGTGGCCCACCACGGTGTACGGCGTAGTACATTGTCTGTACGGGTCTAATACGGATAAATACAGGTATTTAACCGTCAGGACGGTTGATAGCACTGCCAAGGTACTTAGTCCGGTACTAGTGTATCGAAAAACCGGGCCGCCAGAGCTTGGCATCAGCCTTCAACACCAAACCATCAAATTCCGCGTGTGGATTTGGTTGCGTTCTCTCTTATCGACGCCTCTGCAAGACTTCTACGCAAATGGCCACCACTAGTCACGATAGCACTGCCCATCCGGCTGGTCCATGCCTCGATCTTCGTCCTGGGACGAGCCCCTAACCCCCCGTGATTGACCCTGGTTCCTCACCCTCACCGCGCTCCGTTTCGATGCCATAATTCGGCTGACATGGACCGAGATAACACCCCTGTTGCACGAGGCACGCAATGTGGCCAGTCCCAGGTTCCTGGGGATTTGGAGGAGCGCCCACGCTGATCGATCCCGGCTACTACTGTACGAGGGACAACCCCCGTGGCATTCCTGCAGCCTTTGGATCGACCATTTATTCTGGTCTAACGTCAGATCTATTCTATACCTTGCGCCTTTCCCAGTGCTCGATCTCTCACTACCTTCTACCTGGGAGAATCTCTCTCTGTGGTCGCTTCTGTGCTGCTGTCCGGATCCTTCAAATACGATGACGGGAGTCCTGAAGGAGAAGCAAGAAGCCCCCCCGGCAGAGGGCGACACTGTCCAACATGGGGTGAGAGAAAAGCTCGAGTCGAGTACGCTGGCGCCACCTCCACCACACGTCGAAAACATCGTTACACGAGGAGGTGTTCGCGTGCATCCGCAACCGACCAGCGATCCCCTGGATCCGTTGAACTGGACCAGTTTCCAAAAACACACGATTCTTGCCGTGGTCATGTTCAAGTATGGCGACCCTGCCCTCTCCTCCCCGGAAAATTTGCAAAGAGTCGTCGAGATGATCATTCTGACTGTCTCAAACCAGATACTTTATGTTCACCTACATCACAACGACGACCGTGGCCAGTTTCCCGGATTTGCAGGAGCAATATAACATCAGCTACTCGCAGGTCAACTGGACGGTGGCGATCCCGGCCTTGGGTCTGGCGGTCGGCCCGCTGATCTTCTCGTCGCTGGCGGACATCTATGGGCGGCGCATCGTCTTCATCTTTGGCACGTTGATGGCCTTTGGCGCCACCGTGGGCGCGGCGAAAGCGCCCAACTACGGCGGCTACATGGCGGCGCGGTTCTTCCAGGGGTTGGGCGTGTCGCCAGCATCAACGGTGGGGCTGGCAGCCATCAACGACATGTTTTACGAGCACCAGCGCGGCCAGAAGATTGGGCTCTGGGTGTTGGCCATCGACAGCGGGTTGCTAGTCGGGCCGATCATCGGCGGGTTCATGAACATTGTGTCTCCGGCGTGGGTGCAATGGCTGTGTGCCATCTTGTTCGCCGTTTTGCTGGGCCTCGAGCTCCTGTTCATGCCTGAAACCCTGTACCCGCGGAACAAGATGCTGGCGGAACTGCCGCTGGCGACGGCGGCCGACGAGCCGGCCATCGACATTGAGAAGGTGCGACGGCGTCGTAGCGATGTCGGAGCCATCAATCTGGCGCGCACCAAGAAGCTGGCCTACATCAACGTGCAGCCAGTGCCCGGGATGCGCCACCCGGCGCTACACTACTCGGTCCTGCGCTTCGTGCTGACCTGGAAGTTCCTGGCCGTGTCGGTCTCGGTCTTCACCTACTGCTTCGTGTGGTACTGGTGGGTGCTGAGCGTCATCACCATGCTACCTGCCGCCTACCCGGACTACAAGCCGCAGATCCAGGGTCTACTGTTCCTCGGCCTGCTGCTGGGCACGCTGTTCGCCGAGATCTTCCTAGGCGGCGCCCTCAGCGACCTCGTGTGCACGCGGCTCGCCAAGCGCAACGGCGGAATCCGCCTCCCCGAGATGCGTCTGTGGCTCGTCTACCCGGCCGGCCTGCTGAGCGCTGTGGGCCTGATCCTCTGGGGCATCAGCATCGACCGCGCCTACCACTGGATCGTCGGCCAGATCGCCTTCTTTTTGTTTGCCGCCGGCATCCAGATGGGCAACACCGTCGTCTGCGCGTACATTGTCGACTGCTATCCGCTGCAGAGTATGAGCATGATTACCTTCTACGCCGTCCTGCTGAATCTGTCTGCCTTTGTTGATCCGGTGAGTTGGAGGCGATTGCTAGATTACCAACATGCACAGAATTGTCTTTGTTTCTGTCTCCTCCCGTCTCCCCTATTCCCATTGCTATTCTTCCACCTCTATTCTTTCTTCCTCCACAACCTTTTCCTTGTCTTTCCTTCTGCTTTTTCTACTGTTCCTATTCTTTCTGTTCTTTCTGATTCTTTTGGCTGACACCCTTTTCCTACGTCTAGTTCTTCATCGCCCCCTGGCAGGCCGACTCGGGCTGGACCTGGTGTTTTGCCGCTCAGGGCATAATTGTCTTCTTCGGCGCCATGCCTGTCTTTGCCCTCCTGCACAAGTTCGGCCCGGCCTTGCGGGCCAAGACGGGCACGCCTTCGTGGGTCAACCCGGAATTCGACACGTCGACATAGACGAGAGGTAGATAGATGAGTAATAGACCGATGTGTCTGACGACGCCTTTGCGTCTAGAGAGAATAGAAGTAGCAATGGTATTGCTGCCCCTCACGGTGCAACGAGGTGTTTTGTGCCTCCGGTTATTCTATTAAAGCTGGCCTGACCGGTGTCGCTGGCGATTCGACGCCTACCGTGCAGTGCAGACTTGACTTAATCCTGAAACTGCAGGATCCGCAGGGGTTGTCAATACTACAACACAGTTGAACTGTAAGCTCTCTCCGTGTATGCGTTACTACAACACAGTTGAACTACAAGCTCTCTCCGTGTGTGCGTTACTACAATGCACTTGAACTGTATGCTCTCTCCGTGTGTGCGTTACAATGCAGATGAACCATATGCTCTCTCCGTGTGTGCGTAGGCCTCCATGGCTTTAGAACTATTAGCTTCTTCGATCATTACGGTGCCGGTGCCGGTGCCAGTTCCGGGCGTTTTAGATGACAGGCCTGACCTCAGGTGATGTTGTGGAGATTCTGCCAAAAGACTTATATCTAAGTGCCATGAGAGTGAGTTCACTTCCTATCTCCCACGTCAATGGAGATCACGGCCCGACAGAGGCGGCGAAGGTGCTTGTGCTTGTTGGTGCTCTAACGATGTGAGGATCTTCGTGGCAAAGGTGCTTGTGCTTGTTGGTTCCTCTAACGATATGAGGATCTTCGGGGGGTTATGGGGGTCCGTGCAGGTTGTCGTTGATAGGGTTAGGGTTATAGTGAGTGAAATCGTCGATAGGGTTAGGGTTAGGGTCATAGTGAGTGACGGGTCATCGGCGCAAGCATTGTGCATCGATGTTCAAGTGGCCGCCTTATCATCTTTCGTCTCTATGCTCGACATCTTCGTCTCTATACTCGAGCTCAATAAGACGGTTCTCAACAGACCAGAAAACCTAGATTAGATATACTTCGACGGGCTCCTAAGACTCTTCTCAAACGTATCGTACTTCATCATTCATAGTCTGGTCTTTGCCAGTTCCTCTCCTCTCTCCTTGATCGTCTTCCTCCTCAGATACCAGTTGCGTAGCACTTCCCACGAGGCCACGGCAGCCGTGAGCGGCGGACACAATAAGAGCACCCAAGTCCACCACCGCGGACTCTTCGACTTGATATCCTGGACGACTTCTGCGATCTGGAGTTTCAAATCTTCCTTACTGCCGTCGTTGTAGAGCACATAGCCCTTTCCGGCATTCTTTTTGCCATTGTTTCTGTCCTCGCATCTTGTGGCTTTCTCGCGCACATCGACCTGGCTCTTGACCCGGTTCTCTGCATCTTCGGCCGACAGATGTGGATCGCGGTCACGCAGCCGCTGCATCTGGATCTTGGGGTCTGAAACCGCGACCACGATGACTGTGGTGCAGAAGATGTCGAGCCCGGATTCGAAGAGCAGAGGCACGTCTACCACCACGGCCCAATGCCCGAGGAGGTAGTAATACAGCATTGCTCGAGCCATGTAGAACCGCACCGCAGGATGGACAATCGCGTTCAGTTTCTTCCTGTCCCGAACCCTCTCTTCACTGTTGCCGAAGACCCTTCTGCCCAATGCCGGTCGATTCAACGGCCTGCCCTTCCCATCTGGGCCATTCTCGTTGCCGCCGCTTTGGGCATCCGACGCAGGAAGGAGGAGGTCTGGGGTGGTAGGGCCGAACGTCGCCACTATGCGACGGTATCCCCAGGTTCCGGGCTCAACTGCCTTTCGCGCCAGAAGGTCCGCATCAATCAAGGGCAGTGAATAGGGCGGAGACGAAAGCGTTGCTGAACAGGTCGACTTGCCGGTCGCAATTGAGCCTGTGAGACCGACGACGCGCATTTTAGCTGGTGTGCTGCTACCGTACTAGCAATGAGCAGCTATGGACAGAGTGTCAGCCGTATCTTAACACCTCTCTGTCCAAGGCCAGGAACACATGTTCAGTTACGTGTAGATACGGAAGTACTTTTGAATAATTAGTACTCCGCAGGTGGGCGCAGGTACCGAGGTCCTACGGCCGTGTGTCAAGAATCCGATTTCAGCGAGATAGTGGAGATTCGCCAAACGGCCACAAAGTTCCCAGTGCTGATCCCAAGGTGAGGCACAGACTCAGCTTGATATAATAAAAGCATCAACCTCAAGGATCCGATTCCAGCGGCGATAGTAGAGAAATCCCAGTAATAGTTGGGTGCCTACCTGGGCATTATGGAGGTCTTGAGGGAGATATCTCGGAACCGGATAATCTGATGATCCGGGCAGCCCACATTTGCCAAACAAGGCTGGCTGTCACCTGTCAACCGCAGACTTTTGATGACACCGCAAGGCTGAACTTCCAAACCTGATATCTGATTCTTTATGCCATGAACGCTACACTCCCCAAGCTGGGAATGACCAATGACCAATAACCAATGACCAATTGAGGCAAAATATTATTCTCCTCCAACCCAGTGAGACAAAGAATCGAAGACTCATATTACGACACGGCTGCAACATAAATTCCTTCCACCACCGCGATGAAGACACCCAATACCTAACTGAGTGAACGGGATCTGTCTTTTGAGACATATGATGACACTGGCCGCCTTAGCCTATAAATCGACTTGGAAATCCCTACGACCATCTTATAGGATTCTTCAATCCAAGCTGCATTCCACAATGGCCTCAGTGTCAATCTCCTTGACTCCCGCGGAAAAGCTGTTCCGACAATGTCTCCTCGACTGCCGCAGTGAAATGCAGACCGTGCCGGGGATGAAAGACCTAGTGCTACGGTTCACGGGAGGCTGGGTTCGGGACAAACTGCTGGGGGTGCAGAGTCACGACATCGACGTGGCCTTGAGCACCATGACGGGATGGCAGTTCGGGCAGGCGATGCAGACGTTCATGATGGACCACGGGGCTAATTACGAGCAGGAGGCGATCCGGCAAGGGATCAACTGGCAAGTCAAAGACATCCACAAGATCGAGGCGAACCCGGAAAAGTCGAAGCACCTCGAAACCATCACGACGCGAATGTTCGGCATCGACGTCGACCTTGTCAACTTGAGAAAGGAGGTTTACGACGAGACTTCGCGCAATCCGCAAATGGAGTTCGGAACCCCCGAGGAAGACGCACTGCGCCGCGACGCCACGGTCAATGCTCTATTCTACAACCTAGACACACAGCTCGTCGAGGACTTTACTGGCCGAGGCCTGGACGACATGAAGCACAAGATCATCCGCACGCCCCTGGCGCCCTACCAGACCTTCAAGGACGATCCGCTGCGAGTGCTGCGGCTGATTCGCTTTGCCTGTCGACTCGGGTACGAGATCGACGCCGAGGCGAGAGAGGCGATGAAGGACAAAAGGATCCATGAGACACTGCGCATCAAAATCAGCAGAGAGCGCGTCGGCGTGGAGATTGGCAAGATCATGGACGGTCCTGATCCGTACACAGGGCTGAAGGACATCAACGAGCTCGATCTCTACGCCACGGTGTTTGCCGATCCAAACGCCGCAGATCTCACTTGCCCAGACGCCGAGAAAGCACTGCGCGCGTACGATGGACTGCGACGAATCTTGGAAGAGAAGGCTGCGATCTGCCTGGCCTTGAAGCCCAAACAAGACCAGGCACTCAGCTGGTTTCTGGCCGCCTACGTTCCCTGGGTCGACTCTTCAGCTGGAGCATACGCTGCATCGCGCGAGGGCATCAAGGCGACCAACACCATGTCCAAGGTTCTGAAAGACGCGATCGACCTGCGCCCGCAGATTCTTCGCGCGGTGGACGCGGTGCAAAACGACCAAGCCTCGCGCTCCCAGGTCGGCATGCTCCTGCGTCAGTGCAGGGAGGTGTGGAGGTCGCATGTTTTGTTCTCGCTGCTCTGCGACATTGTCGACGCCGACTTTGTCCAACCCACCGACCGCTACCAGAAGTTTGTCGGCTATATTCACGAACAGAAGCTAGAGGATGCCCACCTCATGCCTCCGCTGCTCAAGGGCAACGACATCACCCAGGCCCTGGGAGGGCCGAAGGGCGGTCCCTGGCTCAAGAAAGCCGTCGACCTGCTGGCCGAATGGCAGTTCAGCCACCCGGATGCGACCAAGCAGCAAGCCATCGACATGATCATCAGCAAGAAGCCAGAGCTGGAGATTCAAGATCAGCACCCGCCCAGGCCTACAAAGGGCAAACAGAAAAGCCGCAAGTTGCCTTGATTCTGGGCCATGATTGTTGACAAGCTACGCCCACTGTGAGGCCCTCCTCGAAGGCACAAAAGGACGATTTGAGTTTCATGGTCATGTCATTATTAGGATCCTCAGTCAATCTCTCGTTGAGATGCTCGGAATTCAGGTGGTAATATATATGGTCGTTAGCGCTTCGCGGTAGCCAGCATTGCAGCGGTATGACACAGTCTGAGATAGGGGAGAAGATATGTACGGAGTAGTCCTGATTGTCAATCTTGCCAGGGATGAAATGTAATGTTTCCATCCCATTCTTTCCCACGCCTTTTCGCTCGCCTACCCACCACCGGCCTCATTTCAACAGCACAATCAGCAATAACAAGATGACGATCAAAACGATGATGGTCGTCATGCCCCAATTCTGCTTCACTCGCCGACTCACGCCCTGTAACCGCCGTGTCGCACCGTCCAAACGACCTTGATGCCTGTCCACGCCACGATCCACCTCATCTAATAGGCCTATTTGCCCTTCGAGCTCGTCACCCACCTGTAGGGCCAGATGTCGCTGACGGCCGATTGACTCGCCCAGTCGGTCCAGTTGTTCATCTTGCTCAGCAATCACTTGTTGATGGTATGCATGGATTTGTACATTGTTCAGCGATGCGGGATCGGGGGTTTGCACGCGACTCGAGTCGTCATCGGTGTATCGAACGGGGAATAGGGCGGCACGATTAGCTTCCTCTACTTCATCCAGAGATTCTTGTGAAGGGTTATCGCGGAATCGGACGTTCTTCGCCGCCTGACTCTGCGTAGATGCTTGCTTTCGTAAGTTGGAAGCACGTCGCTGTTGGGATTCACTGGACTTGCGGGTTTGTGCCCGCGCAAAGTCGTCTTTCAGTGCAGGGTCATTGGGAGACGAAAGAGTGGCCGTGGCCGTGGTGGAGTTCTCGCCATGGAACTGTCGGGATAGGTCATTGTATTGAGCGCGGAGTTGATCGAGGGATTCGTCGTCGTCAGACCGGGTGGACAGTAATTCGATGCCTTCTCGAAGAGATTCTAACGAACGAGCGAGGTTGGAATCTTGGGAGGGGTTTGGATCGAGTTTTAGCGAGATGGCGCGCTGGCGTTCTAGGAGCGAAAGCTTGATGTGGTCTGCGAGGAGGAGCAGCTGGGATGGGTTTGACATTGTGAAGAGGAGTTGATGATTAGAGGGATGCTTGGGAGTCGGCAAGGGCAGTAGATACGGAGAAGCTGTCGGCAAAGGAAGGTCCCGTATAGGTGAGGATGAGGTTGTATGTGATCGAGAAGTGTCACGGACCCAGTGCCGGTGTTCACTCACATAGGAGTGAATTCAGTTCTTGAAGTCGGCCAGAACAGTGCAGCCTGTATCGAGTGAGGCATGGAGCAGGTGCAAGTACGTACCCTCGGTCTGTATCGGCGCCGGCGGCGACGGGAGCTGGAGATGATGCGGCCGCCAAGATGTGGCTGGTGCCGCCTCACTAATAGTGCCAGCTGCCACTGTTCCCCGGTTGGGGCGCAAGACGCCTTATTCTTAAGCGCCCCGTGCCCACTGGCTAGGTGGTCACGATTCCCCTCACTACCAATAGTGGCCGGGCTGGTGACAGCCATGTCGGGGTCCGGACCAGGAAGGAGTTCCGAGGCGGGACGAGACAACAACGCATATTGCCTCGCTCTCAGGTCCTTCATACTTGATTCTGATTCTACCATTACCATGTTGACCTGCTTTTGCATCTTGCAATGGACAACCACAGGCCCTACCCTCCGAGGCCGAGCCCTCTCAGCACCTATTACGTCTCTCTACCTCCTTCTATGCAACCCCATTTCGACGCTCTCTTTGCCGAATCCGTTCGATCTAGCCCCAGCCTATCCCCCTCAAGCTCGTCTTCAAGCCTGTCCACCCATGGCGCCACCCAGGCCGCCACCCAGGGCGGCAACTACGACGAGCCGCCTTCCAAAATCGACCTCCGAGCCCTCGACTATGTTACAGACTACGATTCGCATTTGATGTGTCCGATATGCCACGTCCCCTTCCTCCACCCTGTTGTGCTCGAGTGTGATCATACGTTCTGCAACTCCTGCCTGAAAGAATATCGAGAAGGGGCCAGTAGTGGTGCCCGCTCACGATGTCCTACCTGTCGAGCTGTCTTATCGTCGGGACCGCGGAAAGCCTCTCGGCTCATTGTGAACATGTGTAATGAGACCAAAGTCCGGTGTCCCAATGACGACTGTCAAGAGGTTCTTCCACGTGGCTGTGTCGAACACCACGCTACAAAGGAGTGTCCGCATGAAAGGCTTCGGTGTCCCGATCCGAAATGTGACAAGCTTGTCAAGAGAAGGAATCATGTGCCGGCGCAGTGTATACACATTTCGCACATCGAATGCGACTGCGGGGCGGTGATCGAACTGGGTAAGGGAGAATGGTTGCGGCATAAAGATGAAGATTGTCCCAACACCGGGGTAAAGTGTGAGGAATGCGGGCAAAGGATCTCGGCCAGTGACTACCCTGGCCACATCTGCAACCCAGACGACGACCACAGTTGTCCAGGGAAGCAATATGGCTGTACAGACGACTTCTCACCTGAAGACTCGGAGGCTCACTTGAAATCATGCCCTCTGGCTCGGTTGGCCCCTCATCTCCAGAAACAATCACAACTTCTCCAGTCACTGCAAGAGCAGTTGATCATGGTCAAAGTACGCAATGAGGTGCTTGAGAACGGGTTTGAAAAGATCCATGACGTTCTGAATGACCGGGTTCTCCCTTATGTCTCACATTCAGACCATTCGCCAGCAGAAGCTTCGGATATTGAAGAAATTGAACGCGACCATATCCCCTCGGCCTTGTCGCAGCGTGATCTGCTGATGCCAGCACATCTTGGCGATCTGACACCATCTGCCGACCCAGACTCGTTGTCCATCTCTCAAACACAACAACACTTGCTGGCCTTACACGAATCGCTGCGTGGAAATGTGTCGAACATTGAGAACAACATTTCTACCTTGACCAACACCATCTCCGACCTAGATGCACGAACATCTATGCAAATCATGAACGAAACTCTCCGTATCAAAGAAGACCTGGCCCATACCAGCGCCGCATTGTTCAGCACGAGAGCGCAGGTTCAGTGGTTGATGAACCGAGAGAGGGTAGGACAACAACAACAAGCCATGGGTATACGTGGTCGAGCACCATCTGCGCAGCCTCCAGTGTCAAACCAGGCTCCTTCAGCCCGGAGTTCTGTTTCTGAAGGAGGGGATTCTTCCGGCCAGGGCCAAAGTCTAGAAGGTCAGCCATCGGCATCAATTCTGGGATCCAGTCCAAGTTTTCGACCTCAAATTAGGCGACAGAGCGGTGGTAGTCAAGAGAGAGTCAAGTTATAAATGGCCTGGACAATCTTTTTTAAGGCAGCTGGACGAAAAGTCACAAGTGCTTGGACGAGTTCATAGCTGGTAGTGACGTGTGCTTTGACGGCTCTAGATAAATGAATGAAATGATACCCATGACAAGTGTAGTAGGAATCTACTTCAATCAGTACTTCAAGATCATGTCGATTCGTCTTCTTCCGCAGTAGCCCACGATGTCGATGTGTGTGGCCTTACGGGGAGTAATATTTAGATTTCAGATACTTGGCAGCAACTTCAGGTATCCAACTGCTAAGGTATCCAGCTGCATCTAGCTGCTGAATTGCAGGTGACACTGACACTGCATCGAGCTAAGACACCCAGGTGATGGCAGATGGCAGATAGCCACACCACACCACACCACTTCACTTTCATCATGGTGAAAAGTGCCAAAAAAGAATAGGCAAAGAAAAGGACAAAAAACAAGTTCGAATTTATAGGTATGGGCCCTCAATCGTTGGACTGGAAGGGCCGGCCCCTAAAGGAACGGATAACCACTCAAGGCAGAAGACTGCAATCCTCTAATTAGTGCCGAAGGCGTATCCAAGAGCCGTGGTCGTACCACTAGGTCACCAAACCTACCACGATGGGCGACCAGAGTTGTGAAACAATAAAATATATCCCTCGATTATTGCAAGCAGCCTCTGTTGAAACGGGAGTATTCCCCGGTGTCATCTCTATTTCTTTTATAGAGTCTGGGCTCCTGCCAGCTTAGGTCTATTTCATTTGATGGAAAACATTAAGCGTTGAACATTGAACATTGAACTTCAGCTTCTGCTTTGTTCGTCTCATGCCTTGACTTTCAAAGGTGCTAGTGAGTGTCCAGAAAGATCTCATGGCTCAGGAGGAACTGTATGAAGAACACGCAAGGCGGGCATGAATCAGAACACGTAAGGCGGGCATGTGTCCTGAGTCCTGAGTCCTGAGTCCGAGTCCTGAGTCCTCACCCGACACTGCTCTGGCACATATGCTACAGATATAGATACCATGTACCTTGGACAATCCAGAAGGGCCAGTACAGTCACCATTGAAGTGTCTAACTTGGGCATTCCCAGCCTTGCCCTTGAACCAAAAGGCTGGTAGGCACACCTATATAGTCGGGTCCCCCTGATAGACAACGTGAAACATTTCAACCTTCGATAGACAACATGGAACATTTCAACCTTTGGCGTGAAGACCACGAGTACTCAGCGACGCGGTGTGGTACGTGATACCTGAACGAATGGAAGAGAAGAGAAGAGGTGAAGTTGCCCTGCCCTGAACTGCATATTTCCTAGCCTTCCTTGAACTGCACAATTCTTGCTGGCGCTAGGTCTATCACTTGTCAGGACACCAGTACGGCATTGCAAATTGCACATTGCACCCAGCCCAGCCGAGAGACACAGCAACCCTTCTTTCTGCCTTGGCCCTGACCCTGACCCTTGACCATGACTTTGGCCCTGACCAGACCCACGATACAATCCGATCCGATCGTCAAGATACAAGATACAAGATATAAGTTACTGGAATGGAGCATTTTGACCTGCAGTGGCTTGCGAATACCAGCTGGATAGCAGCAGCAGTACCAGTACCAGTACCAGTAACAGGAGCAGGAGCAGGAGCAGGAGCAGGAGCAGGAGCAGGAGCAGGAGCAGGAGCAGGAGCAGGAGCAGGAGCAGGAGCAGGAGCAGGAGCAGGAGCTGATACATCACCTTCCCGATGTCAACCCTTCAAGCGTAGATGGAAATTGGTTTGGTATGCACGAGAACCAGAACCGGAAGCCAGTCAGGCTGTGGACATTGCACGCGAGGAAGTGTGAAGTACTTTCTGTGATGGACTTAAGAGAAGTATGAAGCACCCTTGGTAATGGACTTTTGAAATCTCAAAAACTGGACGTGGTCGAAGATCGAAGGTGGTGAAGTGAACAAGATACTGTTACCCGGCACAGACAGACACAGACATAGACACAGACATAGACACAGACATAGACACAGACATAGACACAGACATAGACACAGACA